ATTTTGAAATGGAAAATTATGAAAAAGTAAATTAAATAAATTTACTTAAAAATATCAAATAAATAACACTACAACTGATATACTTAGAAATCAAAAGTAAACAATCAAATTTAAGATTGGAAAAAAGTAAAAGTTTTCTATGAAAAAAAAAACTCAAAATTTTAAAATTTTAAAATTTAAATTTTAAATTAGAATCAATTAAAAAAATATTTTATTAAAGAAGAAATTGTAAAATTTAACAAAAATTTAAACCTAAAATTAAGCATTAAAAATAAAAATAAAAATGTGAAAACTAAATTACAAAATGAAAAGAAAATTTTTCTTGTAAAAAATTGGTTTTGAGGTCTAATTCAAAGTGTTAGTAATTATATTTTAGACACAAAATTTTTTAGAGTTTTGAATAATCCAAGTTTTGATATTTACTAGCTTCCAAATGTTGAGTTCTATTTAGGTTTTCGGTTACTCTTTGTATTTTCCTAGTAAGTGCTGGAACTCCTCTATGTTATTCAGACAAGCTCATACATACAATACTTCACAAAAATCACATACCAATATATGTGATTCATCTCCACATGAGACTACGGCCACGGTCGAGATAAAGAGCTTCACTAAAGTGAGAATTTACATCAAGCCTCCATAGCCAAGCTCTTCACTATCTCGATGTTCATGTGAGACTGAAACATGCTTGTACTCAAATTAATCTTATGATAAGCGTCTAGACATGGGGATATAAACCCCGGTTACTTTTGTAATTTGATCACTTTATTACACAATATTTTGCCTTCACTTGCCTTGGACGTAATATCCAGTGGTGAATCATGTTTGATTGAGTGTGTGTGTATTTCTAGTCACTCATTCTATGTGTGTGCATTTCTGGTTTTACTATTTAATTTTGATACTGGATTTTATGTACTAATAACTTACACTCGACTTATGGCACTTGGATTGCGGTGGGGTACATCAAAAGGCATATGGAACGCACGCTGCACGCATCTGACTGGTACTATCAACGACTATGTGACTCGATCTTAAAATGGAATCTCAACTTCCAACATACTTGCGTAGTAACATGTTTAAAGAAGGTGATTGCATTGTGGAGTTGCTGGTCAACACAAAAACTCATGGTGCTTGCTTTTATGGCACTCGGACTCACCACACTAGTTTTGAATTCACTTTTTTTGTTAGAGTTAGATACCTTTCACATAAAAAAAAGTGTAGCATTTGTTCATGATGAATCGAGTGACGGGAGCAAGATCGGTTCAAATCTTGCAGTAGCTTTGCTTTTAAACTCTTGTTGATCCAAGTAGCAATATTTTGTGTATGTGTGTGTTACTATCAATCTATGTGTGAAACGGAGAGTTGATGAATCGCAACCGAATCTGTGTCGAAATACTGGTACACGTTTGGAGTAAATGCACCGTACCATAGTTTGTGTAGATCGGCCAGCAGACGTGAGCAATTAGGAAAAAGTCTGTAAATCTCCTAGAGACATAGCGACAGTTGTTTGGATCTTGCATCTGTCGGAGCCGTTGGGTACATCTTAAGCCTTCAATTGGTCACATGGAAGTTCAGTACCTCGTAGCTGTTCATCCTGAAACATGTTGCAACTGCTCGACATGTACTTCTTGAGATGTAGAGAACTTTATTTCTCTATTATTTTTTCTCGTCTTGTGAATAGTCAACAAGTGATTCAATTTGTCTTCCATATGAGTTTCTATTGTTCTTGGAATGAATAACAAGAATGTCCATTGATGGACCAAATTAATGCAAAATTTTATTGAATTTGAAAAGCATATGTAAACAAGATGGAAAGCAGTAGTACACAATTCAAAGTAATATACAAGAGTTTAAGTCGTTGTAGAACAAGATAAGTTATAGTAAACTAACTAATACAATGTGTGTGTCACTATCACTCTATGTGTGGGCATTTTTTTTTATTGTTTAATCTTGATTCTTGCTTATATGTACTAACACAAAAGAAAACTTTGATTAGTTTTCTTATGATTGTCACATTAAAAAAATTTGAATCAAAGTGCCAAAAAACTATTGTAAAAAAATTGAAAGAAATAAAATTAAAAAATAAGAAAACAAATTGAAATATCAAATTATCAAAAACAAGAATAATAAAACATTTGGATTTCTCAATATGTTAACTAAAAATGTTCAAAAAATATAAATTTGAACTGAAAATGAATTATTTACTATTAAAAAAGAAAGGAAAAATTAAACACAAAATAATAAAAAATAAAATAAAAATAAAAAACAGGAAATAAATTTAAGAATATAAAAAAAAATCTCAAATCTAATAAAACCAAAAAAAAATTCAAATGAACACAGAAAAAAATTTAGAACATATAAAAAGATTTGAAATAAAAATAAAATAAATATCAATTCAATACTATTAGTTAAAATATCTAAAATCAAAAAATTCAAAAATAATGCTAAAGTTGTTTGAATTAAAATATTCATATCCGAAAATAAAATTTTCATTTTTAAAATATTATGAATCAAAAAAAAAATTCAAATAAAAAAACTATTAATTAAAATATCATTACTAAGTTAAAATTAAATAAATAATTTTATAATTAAACTATAATAAATCAATAGATCATGAGAAGACATCAATCAAAATTATTAAAATAAAAATCAAAACTAAATCATAATAATTAATATATATAAATTAAATAAGAAAAAAGAAATAAAACTCTATAATGAAAACTCGAAATTTAACATATAAACATTTGAATTTAAATATTTTTTGAAATAGATAATTTTTTTTAAAACATGCTTTAGAAAAAACTTATTTAAAAAAACAAAATATATAAAATCAGTAATCAATTGTACAAAACGTAAAGATAATGATGTAAAAATTTCATAAGTATCTTTATTTTCTCTCTCTCACACACACACATATAAATATTGTTCCAAAAATTGCAATAAATGTAGTGATGAACAAAAAAATTATTATTAAATATTATAAAGTTGAGATTATAATATTATTGATGAAAGATTATTAAAATTAGATTAATATAGCAGAAAATGATTTACATTTTGATAATGAATATTAAATTTTTTGAAATGATATAATTGAAATTAGAAATTTTCCGAACCCTATATTCAAAAAAGTAAACATTCTAAATCAATACTATTTCAAAAATTAATTGAGTCTAAAATTATTTCAATTTATCCTAATTTTTAATGTAAATCATGAAATAAATATGGGAAAAAGATATTTATTTTTATGTATCATAAATTCAGTTAATCTGATGTAAATATTCAATTAATTTATAATAATTTATATATTTGAAAATGAAAATGTAAAAACTAAATTTTATTATAAATTAAATCCTCAAATAATCAGTTTTTACTTTCAAATATTTCTTAAAATAGTTTTCGAAGAAATTTTAATTTAAAACAATCTATTTTTTTAATATTAAAATAAATTTTTTTAAAGAACTAAACATTTATTTTTTCCAAATACTCTTTTAAATAATATTTTTTTATTGAACGTGATGATGAAAATAAGAATAAAAATGAAAATAGTATATAAATATATCTGAAATGATGCATACAGAAGAAAGGAGCCTTCAGTTTGAATCGAATTCAAAATAAGATGATAAATATTAGCAATTAAAATATTCATAAGCCCAAACATTAAATTATTTGAAGACATTATCATTTATTTATGAAAAATTTTAGTTGATAAGTAGAATTAGTATTCTTTACATATCTTTTCTAAGAAACAAAATCTTCTGAAATTTCAAATGATTAAACTATGATCATCACAAAACAAAAATATTCTTTTAATTTTTAAAATTTGCCTAGATTTTAATATTGAGAGGAAAATTTGCAATTTTTCCTAAATTATCACGGATTTGCTAATTTTTTAATTCATTATTATCTGAATTAAGATTTTTTTTGTACTATATATTTTTGTGCATTCAAAGAATTTACACATATGATAGTTGAGATTATAAAGAAGCAGTTGAGAACATAATAATATTCATGTGACAATATACCATTGTATGTGTGATTCAAATTTCATCATTTATACATATTATATTTACCTTTAATATTTTTTTAATATATTATTACAATATGAACAAAATATTTTGATACTTGAATGTTCATTTTCATCATTTATTTTATAAAATATTTTTTTCATATTTATTTGATTTCGAAGATTATAAATTTTCTTTTAATATGAATATGATATTTTTATCATATTCATATTTATATTTACATCTTTAAAAAAATTACTATATACATTTGTAATTTGCAAAATCAAATTTATAATTAATTTTTTCATTAATCACTACTCTACAGAATTTTATGCTCATCAATTTAAAAGATTACAAGTTTTGCAACATTATGATATTTTTGAATCTCAATTGCTCTAAAATTCTTTTTTTTCATCATAATTTTCTTTTTTTCCATAAATAAGCTCATGTACTCTTGTGATGTATCAATGTCATTATTTATATTTAATGCATCCAATATTTTTGTATTGCGAAACTAAATCAATTGGATTTCTCATTACTAATGAGAATATATTCATTGGTATACGACAAAGATAACCAAAATAGAACAATCGAACGAACAATATGGATGCAAATACGAAATGAATAGAAATGAAAATGAAAAATCAAATACGAAGAAATGAATAGATTTTGCAACAACGCTCGCCACATTGGAGTTCAGAATTAGAGTAAACGCATGCAGCTATCTACTGACAGGTATAGTGCGATGAGTTACTGTAATGGTTTCCTGATGGTTGTGGAATCGGGGTCCATCCAAATCCGCAAGGACCATGTAATGTGGAATTTCACGTAGGCCTCACGGCCATCTTTTGCTTCGGTGATAAGACGGAGCCACAGGAAACGAAGAAGAGGAGGGCAGGTACGAAGAAGATAGAGGCAGAGCCACGAGAAGAGGCCACGTGGCCGATCTTTCTGGAAGAGTAGGCAAACTCGCGTTGCTGACACTGCACAAACGAGAACTCTGGCTTGCCATTTGCCGAATACCTTCTCCCAGTCACAACGTCGAGCGAACTGCCTTCGCAGTTCTCGTCCATACGACGGGAAGAACAGAAATCCTCCAAAGCAGCTGCGCAGGCGAAAATGACGAGGCGCGATTTGTCGCTTTCCTTGCATGGCCTTCCCTTCAGCCTGCTACGACGCTGAACATCGGACGTAGGAAGGAGCGACAGGAGCTCGAGCAGGACATAACGGAGGCACCAAGGCAAGGAAAGAAAGAAACAAAGAAAGAAATGCGATGATGGCCCTTACGATGCCGATTGCGCAATGTGCACACGCTTGCGCGCTTGCTTCTGCTGCAGCTACCAGTGGCACTTCGTCTGCTGTTGTTTCGAGGAGTGGCGGGTCAGTGATTTTAAATGCCGTCGGAATTCTGAGTAGCCAGCACAAGCTTCGCTCCTCCAGTTGGACGGGTCTCAGGCCTGGTGCCGGAGTATCTCAGCTTTCTAAGGTAAACATTCCTCAGTTTTCCCACTTCCATGTATTCAATTCATAAGTGCTGCCATAACTATGCAAGTTCTGTGCCTGTCAATTTCCTGTCAGTTTGTGCGGTACGAAGTCTTTATTTCTGTTACACCCGAGGTCGATCAAGAGATTCAGGTGGAGACTTCAACTTGTGGGTTTGCGTAGTCTGAAGTGACAATTGTCGCATCATTTCATGCCTTGGTTATTTTCAAGTGGCTGTTACCAGTCTGAGCTTGACAAAATTTTGCAAGGTTTATCTGGACCACACACCTTGAATGAAAAAGAAGGAGAATTGCATGCTTTTATCTACCTAAAATGTCTCCAATTGAATGAATTCGTCTAAGTTGACCATCCAAGATTTTCTTTTTCGACTTCGAAAGGTCGGTTTGGCCACTCATTGTCATTATCAGAGAAGCTTTCAGATTCTAGCTTCAGTGTCGTTTCTTAGCTGTTGCTCAATTTTTAAAAATTGTTATTGTGAAGAAAGTTCTGCAGATTGAGTGATCCTTTCTTGTAATTCTGAATCGAGGAGCTGAATGAGCTGTTCTTACACTGAGCCAAGTTGCCAACGTAATATTCGTGTTAGAGCATGAAGCTACTCGCAAACGGTTTAAACGTAAAGACGACCTTCCCAGTTTCATTCGTCTTTCGCAGATGGTAAACAAGGTTATTGATGATTGTCCCTTTATATGAATTATTTCGGAACCTTAAACTTATACAGTGGTTCCAGTAATAGACCTGTACCAGATCCATAGCATTCTGCAAAAGCAACCAGTAGTTTCGAACCTTCAGGTCTTTAACATTCTCTGCGTCTTGGGACTTATCAGGTCACTCGGTTGTTCCACACTAGTTGCAGGATTTTTCAGCAACTGTAATTGCTTTTGCAGTCAGTTCGTTTTCATTTGATAATGAAGCAAAATGAAATAATCTTTCTTACTTTTTTCCTGCCAGATAACTACCTGAGAATTTAGCGTTTTTTGTGAACTGGTTGTCTTGTGTAGACAGATGGGATTCATGTATGTCGGGAAGTTTTGGAGACACATGGTTTGGTTCGGGCAGCTGCTGTTGACCAAAGCAGTGTTACCACGGGAGCTCCACCACCACCTCCTGCAGCTCCTATCAAGCAGGTAAGTGGAAATTTGTGTTATTGAGTGTCGAAGGCCTGTGAGTGACTCTGACTTGAAGTCGAAGCAGCAATATCTGTTCAGAGCTTATTTATTTGTCCAGATAGACCTATGTGTAAGTGCCTCAGATTGTAGTGTCGACAATGCAGTCCCTCGGTCTCGAAGGGAACGAATAATTTCAACACAACTACAAACTCAAGCTGTGAATTATCCAGCAAAAGAAACTTATAGATCATGTCCCGTTTTGACGCTCAATTCCATTCAACAGGAATCAGATGTCCGCATCTCCCAAGTTGCGAAGGATACCATGACAATTCGAGGACGCTGTATGGACAGGCTGAAGTACGAGGTACACTGTGACGTGTAAATATTTTTTTGTGAAGAATGTACCTCATTGTTGTAAAGATGGTCCATATTAACTTCATTTCTCCATTTACTTTGTGGGAAATCTTTGTAGGCATTCATAACCTTGTTCTTTTGTACTTTCGCATGCAGGTGGAATACGGCTTGAAGCGGGGTACCACCAATAACTCCTATGTTATCAAGGGTACCAATTCAACGGCTCTGATTGATATCATGGATCAATCTTTTGCTGAGGCCTTTACTAAAACCCTGGAAACTGCTTTTGATCTGAGTTCCATCAAGTACTTGGTTCTGGGTCATTTTAGTCCAAAGCGGGTGGAAAGCTTAAAAATTTTACTGCAAGCACTCGAAAAAAAAGGTTTGTTTTCAAGTTTTTGTCACTCTCCGCACTTTTTTTTTCCATTTTAAAGTAGTCTTGTGCCGTATTTGTCTGAGTAGAGTGGTAAGAGCGGGTTATTGAAATTGTTGGCATAAAAATTAAAAATTTTCTGCATGTCACTAACCTGTATGCTCAAACTTGACTGCGTGGTTTTCCAGGTACATCGATTGAGATCTATTGCTCCAATCCAGCAGCTCAGCTGTTAACGAAATTACTTGCCAGTGACACACTGGAGAATGTGTACAAGTTGAAAACTGTACGGGCGGGCGATGTGCTTGATCTTGGAGGTATATTTCAACTCCTTCTGTTGACATCATGTGCAACAACGGGGGAAAGTATATATTTGTTGCACGTCTGCTTTCTGTGTATCTACTTTTGATCTACATAACCATACATCTAGGGACGACAACAGCTGAAATTAGTGGATTGAGATCTAGAGAGATGCACGTAGAACTGAATGGCAGTTATGCCTAAGCACTTAACTTTCTATCCACTCATCTGGTGACGAACTGTACCATAGTCAGCAAGGTTCGTGACCGGGGCTTCTGTTTCTTTTAATCTTAGTAATTGCATAACAAGGTGCTGCTATCGAGTTGTCTGAATGGCAGGACACGAGCTTCAGTTCATTTTGACTCCTACACCTCGTTGGCCGGATGGAATGTGCTCTTATGATCCTTCAACACAGTTACTGTTCTCCCAAAAATTATTCAGGTATTAAATCCTCTCCTTCCAGCTACTGTAGAGGTGCGGAGGACTTATTGTAGGTTGTCGTAAGGAACAGAACAGCTAATAGAGCACCCACTAGATGACTGTCAACCAGCGGGTAGATCAAGAACTTAGCTAGATTACGGCCCATTTTGTTCACCACAAATTTGCAAATTTTCATCCACAGATATGCGAATATTCATTCTCGGATGATTGGTCTCCCAGATCTTAATGAGGAATGTACGTCCGTTCCAGGAAGCAGTAGTCAGAAAATTATCTTGTAAGACACAAATATGAGCTAAAGAAGGGTTCTTGACAAGGTCCATATCTGCGGGGTATAACAACTGTTTGGTCCAACGTTGTGAATGTTGACTTTGTGTTGCTTGATAAAGTGAGTTTTAAAGTTATCCAAAGCAGCTTGATTATCAGCTAATCAGTCGACTGATGGTTTGTCGTGTTGCTCCTACCAGTGCTCACGTGTGCGAGGAGAATGACTATGATATTGGAGGCGTGGATGTATACGGAGAAGACTGGCGCTTTTATTTTGAGTGTATGCTCGCATCTTCTCCAAAGCAGGTATACATTCACTCACAATTATCTAGCTTACTTTGGAAATCCTGTGAGAATTATTTTTCGATCCTGGAAGGTCACAACAGCTGCTCCTCTGGCCAGACGAGTAATTATAGCTTTCATCTTTGGCAGTTGCTCCATGTTCTAATTTGGTTCATGAAGTGTCTTCGAATTTTCTGTTAACAGAAGAAATTATAATTAACAGCCATAATGGCCAGGTGCAATAAGAAATCTTTGTATCCTTACCACGTCGCAGTCACAATGGCGGTCTGACACATATTAGAAATTTGTGTACTTGTGATGACAGACCAAGGCTGCGCTGGAAAAACTAGATATTGTTGCGCAGTATTCAAAGCCCAGCTATAAGGACAGGAAAGGGGTCGATGTCGTGAAGGTACGTGTAATGGACAAGTTCGAACTTCAAAACTGATCACGCGTTTCTCCGCTTGTTAAACTAATCGACCTCATTGTCTTCAACTAACCAGATTTATTCTGATTGAATAGTGGCTGAGCTGCGTGAGTTTGAGACGCAACCTTCCAGAGAGAACTGAATTAGTGCAGTATATCGTTGATAATTAACCATGAACTACAGCCCAGTACAATTTTCGAAACCTGCCGTTGCGTTCTCTTATACATTTCTAAAGAGATAGTGTGTTCAAGTATTCTGATAGCTATTATGTTCGATTCATGAATACTTATGAAAAGTTGTCTTTTTTCAAACAAACACCGAAGAATATAAGAAGTCACCGACAAGGATGTCTGAGTAGAAGACGATTGTATATATTTAAGAAATATGATCAAGTTTTTCCACTCAATAGCCTCGCACATAAGGTGATATTTTTCACTTTGTTCTCATATACACTATGGCCGCCGTTATAAGTACTCAAACTCGTGGCGAGAACCGTTTCTACCCAAAAACTTGGACACCGTGATGAGCGCTCAGTGAACTCATGGCTTTTTCATGTAGCATTTTTATCTTTGCCATATAAGCCGCTGTTGTAGTAGATGTCTCGGGACAGGTGTACTGTGAGTTTTATCAGGTTCAATACTTCTGCCCAAACTCAAACGTTCAAAAGATATAAACTAACATGGTTTCTGTACATATTCTGCGCGCAATTCCTGCTTTAATCTTTTCTCCACGCTTTAAATTCCCTGTTAAACTTCAGGCTCTGTGCAGTGTCCATGTTAGTTCTACCCTCTGTCACTTCCATTATCCATGTGATTTTTCCATGTCAGAAACAGAGAAGAGTATTGTGTACACATTTCTTTCTGTTGTATTGAGATACATATGCTTAAGTTGTCAGATATTCTTGGGTTGCACAATCCTCTACGCACAATAGTGTAATTTGCCTGGAAATACCAAGTTGTACCTTTGAAACCGGGGTTCAGTCAATGCTGCTAGCTTCACCTTCCTTAATAAGGTTTACAGCTTTAAGGCGTTGTAGTTGGGTGTTCAGAAATGAACAAAATGCAGTTCCTTTTGGTAGTATGTATTGTAACCATTTCGGACCTGAACAGCTAAATTGATCGATCAGGATATTAAGTGCATGATGACCATCACATATCTAATACCCTCCGGTGTTGGTTTACCCTTTTACAGGAAGACATGAAGTTTATATTTTCTACAGTGCTCAGTGCGTTCAATCTACCAATCAGTAAAGGCATGCTTGCTGGCTCACTAGGAGATAAGCTTGTCACGGCCGCAATATGTCCACTACACGGACCGATTGTGCGCTCTTCCCTTACTGAGCTCGTCCGTGAATACGGAGTGGTAAGCTCGCACTATTCTCAACCTTTCACCAGTTATCGAAGTACTCTTGTCACGGAATTAGTAGCAGCATCTCAGATATTGATAAGCTTTCCTTTTGCAAAGAACAACAGAGCATTCATTGACTTGTTCGCCTTATGTTGAAACAAGCACACCCAGTACTTATCCAGTATACAAGAGAGTATGGTGATATCGGTCATTCATTTAGTTACTTTCCGTCTTTTACTTGTGTAACGTGAGTACTTCGTACGTTTTCTGAGCAGAAAAATTCGACGAGGTCGCATACTATCTGTCTTCCCTCATTGTTTTTCTTTCATCTGCCTGCGCGCGGCATCTGAGTTTCACCCTTGTTTCTTTCTGGGGTTTTAATATAAGCTGGACTGAAGAAGACTTTTACCTCACCCTTCAGTATAGGTGCATAGAGAAGATTCGTCCCCTCTAATTTTTCGTCTAGAACTGGGATAGTAAATCACATGTTTCTTTAGTTATCTATACAAATCTTTCTGTAAGAGTCTGAGCTTCAGTGAAACTGCTGATCTTGAGTCCAGAATATTCTATTGACTGAGTATTATTACAGTGGACATATGAAAAATTGAAACAATCAGAAGAAGCAACGGTCGCTGTGATTTACGCGTCAGCTTATGGTAATACGACCGCGCTTGCCCAAGCTATCAGGTGCGTGGCTTGATCAACAGCTGAAGTAGGTCAGCCTTGACATTTTGTAAGCAAAATCCTCTTCTGATGTGAGACATTTCTCACATCAGAAGACTTTGACTTGTTTCTTGTTGACTTGTTTATCTAAATGCAACGAATTAGTTCCGTACTCAGCTCACAATTCTCAAAGATCACTTCAGGTTTTTTGGCTCAGTTCGCATGTTGTATCTTGTACTACAAACTTCTGGCAGCTACATGACAGCAGCCCTTGGTTTTGCTATACTCAGTAGAGATATAGATGAAAGGTACAACATAGTATTTCCGAGATCGTGTATAAGATATAAACAACTAAGAACGCCGGCCTTTTTCACTGGTGATCTTCAGCCGAGGGATAAGCAAAGCTGGTGTTGGAGTCGATACACTAAATGTGGAGATTTGTTCGACCGAAGAACTGGTTGCTTCACTTCAACGCTGCTCGGGATTTGTAATCGGAAGTCCTACGCTTGGTGGTCATATGCCGACTCCTATTCAGGTACGTGATTGATAGTTCCTTCCTCAGTTATTCGTCTCTCCAACCTGTACATATTCATTTCGAGTACTTACGGCTCACGGTAAATATGAACGTTAAAAGGTGATCTTAATCTACTGGTTCGAGAGTTGAGCAACAGCCAACAGTTATTACTTCGCTTGTTGGGCTTCGAGTTATTCTCCGCCCCTGCGGGATCTAGTGCAAAAACCTTTGCACCTCGGTATCCACTGTTGAAGCAGCAGAGTCTACGTGGCAGGATTTGACGCTTCCTGTTCCAATTTCTTTAAGGTGTCTGGGGATCTGTCTTGGGTCGGACTGGCTCTTCCATACTGCTCACCTAGTTTTCCCAGCAGTGTCATATCGACAGCTGGTTTGCTTGCACTAGCTTCTGTATTTCACCTTTCTTCTATTCTTTGTTTTATTTCACATGTTTGCATTGATTTATTTGGATTCAGTTGCCAAATTAGTTCGGTCGTCATGGTCTCGGTCTTTCGGTCTTTGTCTTCATGCTTCTTTCATTCTGATATATTTTGTTGGCACCCTTGAGACGTACCACCTGCCAAGCCCCTGTCGAGGATTATTTACTGTGTTTCTATATCTACTGGGTCGAGAGTCGGAGTTAGTGTCTTTTCTGCCTATGCAGGCCCATGAATGGAAGAGAGTTCTGCTTCTGGTCTAACAGTGCGAAAATCTTCTGTGGATTCTCTCGATATGCTTGTTCCAGAACGCCTTGGGAGTGATTCTGTGCGATGAGTATGCGAAAAAATTACCGTGTGGTGTATTTGGTTCATTTGGTTGGAGTGGAGAAGCTGTGGACATGATCGAGCAGCGCCTCAAGGACTGTGACTTTAATTTAGCATTCCCCACCATACGGTGCAAGTTCAAGGTAATTACATTTGCTTTCTGCATTTGAAGGTTTACGTGCGTAAAGATCAAGGGTTTCGGGTTCTCGAAACCGCGTAGCTAATGTATGCAAGTGAAGAGCTTTCACTTTCTGCAAGATGCAAGTAAACAGTATCCTTACCGTTTAAGTGAAGGAGGCAGGTTTTACGCCAGACTTGATGGCTGGATGTAAGGGCTGAAGATCAAGGAGACATGTCGGTGAATCGCACTTGGCATTTCAATTTTTTGTTGGTAATTTTTCCGAGGAGTTTTACCTTTATGCATTCATTACTGTTTTGAACTTGTGGAGCAGCCTACCGAAGCAACATTACAAGTCTGTGAAGAGAGCGGGACAGACTTAGCACAGGCTATAAGGAAGTTGAAGTTGAAGAAGCGCAGTGAGGCGGCTCCTAAGTTCACTGTCGCTTCTAATGTCGAACAGGTCCGTGAACTGTACATGTCGTTCTGTTTATTTTGAAGGGCTTATCTAGGGCGTGGGGTCTATGGTCTTTAGGCTGACACAGGCAAATACAAATGAGATCAGTGCATATCTTCTGATTGCTTGAAACCGTGATTTGAGTTGTAAAAAACTGTATCGGTTTTTCAAGACCTTGTCGAAAAATTCGAGTCTAAAAGAGATATCCGAATGGACTTTCATATTCCACTCAACCATCTCTTTTTTTGTGATCATTTACAAACTATATATATTTTTTCAAAAAAGTATGAAAGTTTGATCAAATTTATTGTTCTATTTATAAGTTGTTCGAAAATTTTAAGTATTCCTTATCGAGCATTTCCTGTTTCTCATCTCATTATTTTTTAGACTTTTCTTTAATACTGTATGTTTTTTAGCTTCTAAGACGTCGTAAAATAGTTAAAATTTCATGATGTTGTTTGGACCTGGATCAGCTGATTAACTTTCACCGCTTCTTTATCTAAACTACCTCACGTCTGTGGATGTTTATCGCTCGAAGATCTAGAAACCGAACTATTTCTCCTCATTCGTTCATCTTCTGGAAATATGCTTTGGTGCACCATACATGACACCTTCTGTTGGTATCTTACTTCCTGGATGTAAAACTGAAGTTTTATTCATCATTACACGATATATACGTATCAACCTTGTGGTGGCCTGACAAAAAATCAACTGTTGTTCAATGATCACCACAGGCTGTTGGAAGAGTCGTGGGCTCCCTGTGTGTATTGACTGCGAGGAGTGGCGATGCGGAGAGTGCTATGTTAGCATCGTGGGTTAGTCAAGCAAGTTTTGTTCCTCCGGGCCTCACAATAGCAGTAAGTTTAAGCCATTCAACTGAACTTTTTGTCTAGGAAATGATACAGGAGTGTGAATCTTGTTGAGTTTCGGATGTTCGTTCTACAAATTATGGTGGAGATTGTATGCTCTAGGATTTTCTCACATGGTTTTCTTTATTACCAAGAATCTATCTTTATTAGCTTAGGTAGCCACTCCCCCAACTAGAGCTGCTGTACCTGTGTCTTGGATTGAAGCTGCAGTTTGTAGGAGTATCATTTTTTGGACTTCTCATTTTATCTCGAGGCGTAGATGTGTTTGAATGTAGGATGTGGAATCTGTTTTGACTGACGTGGATAATGAGCGCGGGTGGCTCAAGCTCTAGCTAGCAAGCTGATCTATGATGTTTCAGTGAAGGAATGTGATTGGTTTCGTAAGTAAAAATGCAAGTTTATATTTTCATATATTAAGTATGATTTATGCAGGTAGCCAAGGACAGAGCAGTAGAAGGACTAGTCTTGGTAGGAGCCAGGTTTGTTGTGAACGTGCTTGGGCAAAACAAGAGCAATGCTGTTGCGAAGCAACTTTTGAAACCCTTTTTGCCTGGAGAGAATCGTATGGAAGGACTTGAGACTACAGTAGCAAGCAATGGCGGACTTATTCTGAAAGATGCGGTACGTAAGTTACCTTGTATGTTTTTAACTGTAGATTTCAGTCCTGGTAGTTTCCTAGGTATATTAGACGCCGTATTCTTCCTACCTGACATTGGACATGACACGCTCGGCCTGCTTACTCTTCATTATGTCCGTGCGAAGCAGACTATCGGTTATTCTGGCTTCGGATGTCAACGTTCAAAGAACGACGTGTCCGAGGATAAGCGTTTTATCTTTCGGATGACGCGCGTATCATGGACCAGACTCAGGAATTTGAACTTGTAGATGGTAATTGTATAGTTGGTTTTTAACTCAACTCAGGACATTTCCTGGATAGCAGATATCGTGGATGGAGTGCACTGTACAGAGCCGTATGGAGACAGGTGATCATTGGGTTCTGTATGCCGTTGTAGACTCTGGAAAATTAGAGGTAATTCCCTTTTCCAAGTCGTTATTGAGATTTTTCTTCCATTCATTATCGTTTAATTTTAGAGTGTCTTTGTCGCTCGCACAAGTTATTTTTGGTGGACATGTGTAGTGTTCTGCACACATACCTTAGGCCTTACACGTGACCTTCGTTTTGACGGTGCAAACGTCAGTCATCAGTCAACTTCGTTTGTTCCCGCATTGACTTTTCTTATTTTGCCTTCTGACACAGGATGATACAACTCTTACTGCTGTTCACTACCGGAAGACAGGAGCACGCTACTGATCGAAACTATCGTTGTTACGATCCGACAGAAAACATTACCGTCAACTCTCATTTGCGGTTGTATCTATGTGTAAAGCACACAAAACTTAGGTCTTAAGGTAGATGATTCCTCACATAGATACGAAGGTGGTGCATTCATCGAGCTTGTTCCTGGCAGGGTGATATGGTCGTGCTGTACTATACACAGGCCGTGCACGATGATGAGCATCTTGCATGTACTTGATGTATATATGAACAGTGTATTGTACAATTCTGTTTGTCCTTATCTGTGCAAATATTAGTAAAAACCTTGAAAAATCTTATTCTCAAATCGACGATTGATTCTAATGCACAATGTCTAATTACTAGAATAGCGTGCATTTATTTAAAACTGTTGCGTGGAAACATCCTCTTCGTACTTGTCTTCAAGAAAGGTTCAGATATAGGTTGCAGAATCAAAAGCTACCGTGGTTATACTGTGCTGTTAGTTTTATCCATGTTCTCCAGAATCATTCCACGTGATTTACACACAACAATATGCGTTACTCCAATCTGAAACAAATATGAAATTAGAAATCGAATCTAAACTTCTGCTTTCTCGCAAGACACGGGCTACTCCTCCCTGCTTACGCATATCTTACAGAAAAAGATATTGCCACAAATCCCAGCTTTTGATACTGATACCCTGCACAAATTTCTTATGCGCAAGCATATCACTTTTTGATAAGATATAAAGAGGGAAGCTTGTTCAAGTTACATACATACTTCACGTTCGTGTTTTATATATCTTGTCCTGAATATATTTCATGTTAAAGTTTGATACTTCAATATTAAAAAATATATGAGTTTTCCCATGCCTAGTTTAATCTCCGACTACAAACCATCAATTTAACATTTTTGCGTGTAAATCATAAGATATTAAAAGTCAAATTGTAGTTCCAACAAATAACAATTAGAAGAGACTCGTTTATAGTTCAACGTGGAAGGAACAAATTTTTGGTATACTGAGAAACAAAAGAAAGGAGAAAGATAACTTGAATGTACAGGTCATGTGATGTGTCATATGAATCTGAGATGATTTGAGGTAAGTACATCGCATAAATTTTAAAGAGAGTATAACTTTGTTTTTTAATGTCATCATGACATTTGACTAGAGCTATGATGAGCAATAGCAAAAAAAACCTAGATCATTGAAATACATCAGTAATTAGTTTGAGAAATTCTCTATTTTTATCTTATATTGATGACAGGATTGTAATTCTGTAAGTTGTGACTGAAAAGGTTTGATTTAGAATATCAAACTTTGGTTTTGTAATAAGAAAAATTTACTCTTGGAAATTTGGGAATTTAAGCAGTTTTTCATTTTTAAATGAGCAAAATTTCATGAATGTCATTGTAAATAAATAGATTAAAAGAGCCTATTGAAAAAAAAATATTACTTTTTAAAGAGATACACCTGATGAGAATTTCTTCTCATTCAATTAATTTCATTAACTCAAAGTTGAATCAGCATTAAAATGATGATGTGATATTTTAAGAAATCAAAATTGCAAATAGCAAATATATGACGATAATTTCTTTAAAAGATAATTTTAAAATAAAGTGAGCTTAATTTTTTTTTCAAATGGTAGTTTATCATATGATTAAAGTAATATTTTCTTTGTTTGAAGAAGTTCAAGTAAGTAAGTAAGTGTATATAATGATATGTAAATAAAAATTAGATTTTGAGCTTTAAAATTATTATTTTAAAATCTCATACATGCACAATAATAATTATAAATATTTTTTCATATGTGCAACATAAAAATCATATGATCAAAAACTAAATTTGTAGTTTGATACAGATAGTTGGATTCAATAGAAAATGATCTAGAATAAAGAGTTATGAAAAAATTATAGTGAATATATTATATCTTGTCATGTGTTTTCTCGAAATGTTTTATTTGATATGAATCAAAATCTAAAATAACATTAAAATTATTTATTGAATATATCAATGAAAAATATGTGTCTGCTTTTGTTGTAATATGCATCTTTTGATAAGTATGATTGTCTATTGTACATATTATCAAGCATTAGTTACATACATGTTATGATCTATGATCTATGTATATCAAAATATGCATGTCTTTGATTATTGACACATTTTTTACTTGATTGCAGACAGTTCATTGACTTTTTGTTAATAGATGAATTTCATCTCTTCAAATTGAGATTAACCATCAAAGTGTATGACATCATTTTCTTTGTATATTATTTATTAATCTGCAATTTCAATATAATGATAACATCAATAAATTGATTGAAAATTCTTGTAGTGTTTGCATGATTTGAATACTTTGACTCATGCTATATATACATAAAAACATTTCAAATATGTAGTGCATGTATTAGACTTTCATATCAAGAAATCTAAAATGACATTTAATATGCTCTCTAGATATATCCTGTTAACTAATCAAACTACTTTGCATCATTTATATTTTGCATGACTGTCATGTGTTTGACAGGAAAATGATAAATGTTTTCATTGAGATCGTCTATCTTACTTTGTATTGCATAAAGATTAATCCTTTTTCATCTTTGTCCATTCATTTGATTTAAGAACCAGAATTTCAAAAGAATTTACATTCTCTCTTAGAGTAATTGATCACTTCTTGTATGAGTAAGAGTAGTCTATACTCTTCCTATGTCAACAACACTATCCCCTGGATCTCAGCCTATTTATCCAGAACTTCATGATTCACAATAGCATCTATTTTTAAAGTGATAAAATTTGTCCACTTACATCTTCAATATTCACGTATGAGTCCAGTATTACATTTGGATTGATACACGTGACTCAGTATCCATGAGAAATATAGTTGTGTTACAATGTTATAAATGAAATAAATCTGCATAATTCCAAGTTGATCAAAACAAATAACGCTTTCTTTATGTAAACACGCCACAGCCAAAACATGGCATCATCAAGTACTTTTTTTTGTGAGCATCTATGTTTGCACCTAAAATAGTATAGTACTCTCGCATGATTAAATGGATGGACTAAGTGAAGAAGTAACCTCGTTGCTATGAAAGTTAAATTTTGCTAAATTATTTGGCACTACATCGGTTAGTAGGTGTTCAACGTTCATCCGAGATCTAGGTTTCCTAGGTTCCATAATGCCCTGAATGTATTGATTATTTTGAGCCATTAAAAAATAACATAACAGGATTGCACGTTACAAAACCAGAAGTGTCGATACGAGGAAACATCAATAAACATCAAATGCAGTATCACCAAAAGAGAAAAGTTGCACACTCTGTCAGAAGGCACCCTCTACCTTCCACTAACAGAAGCTTCAGAAACGAGTCCCAATTCGAATGAAGATTGAGTTCAGTGCACAAGACCATACTTCAAAGCCCTCTTTGGTAGCCGCCTAAGGAGCAAAAAAACAACCAAACTGGGCCGTGGGCCCCGTCGCCATGCCTGCTCTTGCAAAAGGCGAAAATAAACATGTGACTCTGGCCGAGCATTTACCAGCGAAGAGCGAACCGCCCATTCACATGGAGAGTCCTGCGATCGAGTCCTGCGTGATTCGTTGTGTGAAAGCTTTAGTGGCCTCAAGGTAATAATGCAGCTCTCGGGGATGAAAAAGGTGCCCAGTACTGTGCTCGACACGAAAAGCAGATGCACAGAGCGACATTTTGTAAGAAGTGCATGCACAGACTGAGATTGACATGAGCATCCGGCGGCCCACATTCGTTGTACTACGCTCGGTTGCTACTCCATCGATTTCTTCTATCAGACTGTAAGGGGTTGAACTCGAATGAAGCATGCGCAGTCAGTGCTTCTGACCCCGTCAACAGCCATATTCTGAACCTGCATCGACGGCGAAATTCGTCGGTGGGCCCGAGCATCGAGGTGGGCAGCAGAGAATGTGAAAGTATGCTACAGACGAAGCTTTGGTGATTAGGGGGATGGTGATGCAGCAGAGGATCTGCCCTTTTGGCGCTTAGTGCCTCCAGGAAAGAGTCCAGGCCTCGAGGACGAGAGGTCACGATTTGAGACCCCTTTCCCAGGGGCGAGGAACACCATACGAAGCAAATCGAGCCCTCACAAGATCCGAGTCCTGCTGGCCCGCAGTTCCCTCCACCGTCGATAGCAGCTGGCCTCCTTCCAAGATATGAGGAACAGAACAAGATGTCAGAGTCAACCATGATTAGCTTTTGGACAAAATAAAGCGCGATTTCTGTCTTGTTCGTGAAATATTCCTCCGACGAGATCATTGAGTTCTTCAGTGCCTCCCATGACTCGGATCCAAGAGATCCACGAGATAACAGCTGAGAAAACTCAAAGAAGCGTCATTACGGTGCCATTAGCATTATTCGAAACATTTGGAAGAATCTCTGTGAGTCAATGGATCGTAGATATCTTAGAGCCACCTCCTCCAGAACTGGCTTTCATCAGATCCAACCTCTGAAGGTCGGCAAAAGCAATTTCTCATGCGCATGCCGAGTCGATTATGTCCTCGATTTCTCGAAGAACTTACGGCAACCCTGCTGCCCTTGCATATTGAAGAAGCAAGATCGAAGGACATCTGCATTTTCTTTCTCTGAGTTTTTCAATAAACTTGTGTCTTTTACGTCGTAATAACAGGCAAGTTATAATTTTTATTAAACCATCGGATTTTTTTTAACACGCTAACATTAGTTGATATTTTTTATTTTGATGAGAGTTAGAATGAGATGACCCATGTTACTCTAAATGCAATCCATGATACAAATGATACACAAATATTGTATAGTTAATATTCATGTAGTACTAATAATTATTTAAAATTATACTACAGAATTGTTACAGAGATCATTTTCTTGATAGTGTGTGAAAGTAGATATATCATACTCTCAAGTATCAAATGATTCGGAGTGTAGATTGTGATGCTATTAGAGATGTGTTGTTTAAATGACTTTTGAAAATATATAACACATTTGAAAAGATCATTCATATATACGTCAAAAACAGCATTTGAACTTGATTAAAGAACTGAATTGCAATTACAGATATGGTGGCAATTGATCAGAATCTTCTTCATGATTCAGTTTCAAAGACATCATTGCTAAAATTTCTAGATTATTAGTGAATGCAGCGAAAATAGCCAAAATTTCTATACATGAATATTCTGAAATTGACCTTTTTGTTTCTGCAACTTTGAACAAATATGAAATGACATGAATAAATTTTGAAATGTTTGAAAGATATTTCTAGATTACTAGTGAATGCAGCGAAAATAGCAAAAATTTCTGTGCATGAATATTTTTTCTCCAACTTTGAACGAATATGAAATTACATGAATAAATTTTGAAATGTTTGAAAGTTATTTCACGAGTCTACCGTACTAAACCATGAGACCGCATCGCATTCTCTATTTTCTTGTCTAAATTATTTTAGACAAGGAGTTTCCATACTTTACAAATAAGATTCGACTGTGTTAAGATTATTTTCTTTATGTTGAATGGTATGCATTTCTCATTATTATGCAATTGTGACTACCCTTTTGAAACTCATGTGTGAGATGAAGCATGACATCGAAAAAAGGGCGAACGTTTAGTAGTCAAATAGACAGGTCAAGCTACCACAATTTCTTAAAGGGTGTAGTTGGAGTTCTCTTTGCACTGAAATAATTCGCCTATATAAATCATTTCCATGTTCAAGGTGAATGGACACATCCTCCAAGCAGGCGGCCGTCACTTTAACCGCGAAGCCGCGCCATCAATTGGAAAGGCGGCAAGCCCAAATTTCGGACCGGCTCCTTCTGCCAAGCCTGCCACAAGAGGAGGGGACCCATCAAGCATGATGTGTCCCTCCTGAGGGCTTTGGCTCCTGCGGAGCACATTTCCAGTCATGTGACCACATGGCTCTACCAGCAAGTTTCCAGCTTTTGCTCTACGGTTTCCTTATTGGGGTGTTTGGATGGGGGATCCCGCCTCAGTATAGCACATCAAAGTGTGACAGCTCCTCATTCTTAACCTACTTTGAGACATCGAGAGATTCCATCCTCGGCTTCGATGCTTGCCTGAGGGAGTTTGGGCACTTTGTGTACCATACATATTTGACAACAAACAACTACACTTCTTATGCAAGTAAACTACTTGAACTAGAATAACCAGAAGAAGAGATAAAATACAAACGATCAGATATTTCTCTCGAGTCCTGTACTTTTCATGTCGGGACCATTTTCTGCAAACGCACCAAGGAGATGACCACCAAGGAACAATGGTTCGCATTTTGTAGGCATTTCAATATTTGTCCATTTGTGATCCATGATTGCGGTATATTCGCCTGTCCAGACATGACGGATCGTCTTCATGGACAAAGATAAAGAGTTTAGACGTAATTTATAATACGTAAATTTAACTTGTGAAATGTGGATCATAGACGCAGTTTCAGAGTTTCAATATACGAATGGCGAAAAGTTGAATAAAAAGCCCCAAGTTTACCAAACGCACATATAATTCAATGGCCCCAGGCAGAGCCACAGGGCATGGCGATTTTATTGCCCACTTTTGCACACTGGCCTGCCTGTGTATTTGTACTATTATTGAATAGAATGTGACATGAATAGTCTTTACACTGATCGTCTTCTGTAAGTCTTTCTGTTTCATCTATAAACTACACGCCCCACGACATATTGCAGCATCAGCTGGTCGCCTCAAGCGAAGCAATTAAGAAGGGCAAATTTTTGAGATCAAGCTTTTACTGCAGCTGAAATAAAGAGAAGTAATTAGTCACATATCAAAGTAGAAGTGGCAATTAAAATAGCATTCATACTCTGGAACTACATTCTCTTCATAAAACTGCACAAAGCTCGGCATCAAGTGGTCCTTCGCGTCGATAGAGATTGAATTCTTGAAACCTACCTTCTTCTGGCTTGAACAGGAGTGTTGTCTGCGCAATCAAAGCGGTGACAACATACGGATCCATATTCGATGCAGGGCGTCGATCCTCGAAGTAACCTGCTCAATGAACAAAATTGATCTTAGCAACGCCTGTACACTCCCAAAATTTCTGCTTTCAATCTTGCTTGATGGTTCAAATCTTCATACATAGCATCCTCCATCACCGTCTTACCTTTGCCTTCTTTCTCTGTGTCGCGTCCAACGCGAACTGAAGCACCACGGTTTGCTACACCCTGCAACGGAGGTCTTGATGTCAGGTAACGCAACCCCAAGCTCAATTCTGAGGAAAAAAAGGTGACTGTAATCATATTGAATCAAAAATTCAGAAAAATCTTTTAATAATAGAGAAAGGTGTAGTGTCAATTAGCAATCTCGCAGTCGGGCGTCATACCCATGAGAACTGATTGATGGAGGCTGTCTCATGGCGACCTGTCAGCCTTCTTTCATTGCCCTCTCCATAAGCTGCAATGTGCTCCTTGTGGCGCAGTCCAAGCTTCTCTATAGCCTTCTTAATTATTTCGAAGCCACCATCTTCTCTCATGGATTTCGTGCTGTATGAAAAACAATACATTTAAGAATTCGAAATACAAGTTTTTTCTTTGCAGAATTACTGGTCAGAAAAGTACTGAATACCAGTCACAATGAAATGTGGATACCTGTAGTTGGTGTGACATCCAGCACCGTTCCAGTCTCCCTGTAATTGACAGAACAATTAACATTTAGACTTATCTTCAAGTACGATTCGAAAGTCCGATCACTAGGATTCGATTCCCCACTAGAGAAGATTTCCCTTTCAAAAGTCAATATTTAATTGAGAAACAGGTCAACCTACCCATTCTAATTCTGCTGCTCATAATCATATGCGTCTATGAGTTTTAAATGCTGTATCAATCACAAGTCAATGGTAGGAATATACCTCGATGGGTTTCGGGTCAAGAGTGAGGACTACCCCAGCAATTTCCGTGATCCTCTGCACCCATCGACAAATAAAAGTGTCAGCATGTGAGGTGCATTACATTCAACCTCTAGGTTTGAGAAATTCAAAGTATTCGTACGAAACTTTTGCCGTAAAGGATCGAAAAGCTGTGAAATGTCTGAGCCACACTCGACCAACCTCCAGGATGTACCGGGATGCCCAAAGCTGGTCTCCTGCAGAGATTCCGACGGCTGGGCCCACTTGGTACTCCCACTGTGAGAAGAAACAAAGTCCAAGAAAGGTGCCGTTAGTATCTTAAGAACTTCAACCGATCGTATCCTTCGGGGATTCAATGAAAGAAGCTGCATTGTGCAAGAGCTATTGCCTTCGATTCTATTTCATGTTTGGAGTCTCAAACTGACGGGGGTTTGCTTGGAACATCAACGAGATCTAAAATGATCGTCGCCGACAATGCTCATAATGCGATGCGAGATGTTGAGGACTTTACTCCTGTCCTCATGCAAACAGCAAGAGTAATGCCGGCTCTACAAACCGTCACAAGCATCAGCAAGCTACAGCTTGGGAAAATATGCAGTCCTTAAAAACAGGACAAATTATAAGAAAAAAAAAGCCCAGTGTACTCAAGAGTTCTACCTGGCCCGGCATCACTTCCCCATTGATTCCACTGATCTGAATCCCAGCATACAAGCATGCTTTGTAGTGGGCGTTTACAATATCACGACCCCAGGCTTTGTCCGCTCCTGTTCCGCAGTAGTATGGGCCCTGTACGAAGAAATACACGATATCGTCAACAGACAACCATACAAGACACAGAAATACAGACAAGAACATGTAACTCTCACGTGGGAACGAGAAACTTAGCGATTGATCGAACAAACCTGAGGTCCTGGGTATCCATTGACGGGCCAACCGAGCGGCCACTTAACTTCCTTCTGAAGAAGAGTGTACTCCTGCTCGATCCCATACCTGAGACGCCAAAAAGTTCAACAAGATTCTCAGTCGTGACTTGGACCAAGGAGGTTGCGTCACAAACACATTCATCATCATTCATTCATTCGAACAAGATCCATCGCCGCTGGACAACGACACGGATCTTTAATAGCAATATTCAATGAATATCCACAGAATGCAGGTGATGATCAAACGTATCGTCGTAAAAGACTAACAGAGAGTGCATAAACTAACCAGGGAACTTCTTTAACAACTTCGGGCTTGTCGAAAATTTCAGCTGCCGCAGCCCGTTTATTAGTAGGAATAGGCACACCTTGCGGGGTGTAGCAATCACAGATGACCTGAAACAACAACAACAAGCTTATTTACGCCATAAGCCCACGTACCAACGATAGACTGCTAAGCTACGACTATACTCGGTACCTCGAAAGCGGAACTGTCATGATAAAGTGCGACTCGACACGGCAATACGCGAATAATTACCAGGATGTTATTTCCCCTCCTGAACGGGTCCCTGAAGATAGCTTGTGGACTGCATAGAAGTCATAGACATAGAACATCGTCAAAGAGAGAAAGAAGAGGACATCAGAAGTTGCAGACGAAAAAGACTAGAGCTGGCAAAAGGAACAGTTCTGTCGGTGAAAATTTGAAAAAAAAACGTCGTATCGAATTAGGAAAGCTTGAGAGCAAGATGTCATACTATAATATAACTTCACTGTCTTCTCCCGGAGCTTGTCCAGTGCTCGATCCGTCGTAATTCCATTTCGGAAGTTCTTGAGGGGTCTTCACTGGTCCAGGAAGCGTCTGTGAATTGCAGTCCACGAAGCCAGCGTTAAGAGGGGTCACTCATGCACTTTCACGTGGATCTTTCGAAATAAGCAGACACAACATTTCACGTGACATTTCAGCTGGGAGGGAGAGGCGAGCGGGCGGAATCGAGTCTTTCCGAAACGCGAAAATAGAATCGGTACACACCCGTGCTTTGCTGCGAATGTCTAAGCCTGATCCCCCGATCCTGAAAAGAAAGAAGACAGCACGGAGACGATTATGTCAGATACTGTCAGACGGAGCCATGCTGTTATGCCAATTGGCGCGATCACATGTCGGACTGACGACCGTCGATTGCAGCATAATTGGTGCCCACATGCATCTTGGCCAGAGCAATCCACCTCGTACTCTCGACGAGGGCGGCGGCGAACAAACCAGAGATCTAACGACCAAGACAAGACGACATGCCACATACCAGATGTACTCGGCGATGATAGAGGTGGTGACCTCCTCCAGTTTCAAGTTCAACAGGTCTTGAAGGACCGTAGACATGGTGGCCGAACGCGAAGCTTGCTTGCACAAGCAGGAGAAGAATCGAGGAACGCGACCGACGATCGAATTGCCCGCAATAGAAGAGAAAAGCAGAGAATCGGAGAGATCAGCGGACGACGCACGACGACGAGAGAGAAGGTGCAAGAAAAGAAGAGCGAGGAGAGACACAGAGCGCCTCCCGACTCTTCTCGCCCTCCCTTACGACGCAACCGCGCGCGACCACCACCAGCAGCGCCTGCCTGCCTGCCTGCCTGCGTGCCTGCCTCCTGCTGCCTCCTGCCTGAGCGAGCGACTTGCCTCGACTTCCCACTGATACAAGCCTCAGGAGCTGCCGCGCCTCTATTTCTTTCGCTCCGAGCCCGCGGCCCATTTCCGTCGCCCGCCTCCCGTCCCGCATGGACGGACGGACGCCGCGACGCTCCCTCCGCAAGCCGACAAACCCCGGCCCTTTCGCCCGCGCGGGCAGCGGCAACTTCGTGGGTACGTGTGTCTCGTGCCACTGCGCGCACATAATTTTTTACTCCCAGAGTGAGACCGGGGAAAATAAATCGATGTTCACCACGATGGGAATTCGGGGCCAGAAGAATCAACCCGCATTCTTCTCAGAATTGACCCGACCGCCCTCGATCGAATCCCAAGTCAATTTGCGTCTATATTTATTCTTTCCCTACTATTAAATGGACTCCGTTTGACTGCACGGTTTGCTCCGGTTCATGCATCGTAGTACGGTGCAATGCAGTGCAGTGCAGAGCAGGGCACTGCGATGTACACGTCCTTGAACCGGCCGCGGTCGACGGTAGATGGTACAGATATGGTTCGATTCACGCTTTCGAAAGGTCTGGACTGCGGCCGAGCGTGGACTCTTTCTTCTCCCTCTTGGAATCCCTTTCTTGAGCGTTCCGCATCATCATCATCATTGTCAGCCCTCTTGCAGTCAACTGCGCTCCCACTCATCGCCCTTCCCACCATCGCCATGACGTCGGCCGACGACTTCCAACGTTCCGGGAGCGAATACTTCCTCTGTTGTTCTTCCGTCCGAACTCCGGGCGACTCCCGGTTCAACTGCGACTGCGACCGCGACCGCGACCGGGGGAGACCTTAGATGCAAAATAGCGCAGTGGCAAAAATGATCGGAACCGCGCAATAGTTGGCCCTGGAACCGATCCACGAGCGCAGTGGCAGTGGAATTGGAATGCGCTCTCGAGGAGAAAATGGAAGTGGAAGCACGAGCATGGATCGATGGCTTGCATGCATGAGATGGAGAGTGTGTGTTGCCTACAGGGGAGAGCGATTGTTGTCGGACTTCGCTTGTGTGCATGTCGGTCTGCCTGTCTTTGGACGTGTTTCGCGGTGTGTCGTGGAGACTGTTTGTTAGAGAATCTTTAACCAACCAGGACATTGTCCTACCTTCCGGAAAGCCGAGAGCGCGGCATTCGCTCCCGAGGCCCAGGACCAGCTGCGATTGACTGCATCTTTGATGCTGCTGACGAGGAAGGAAAGATTCAGTAGCGATTCAGCGGACTCTGCAGTGGAGGATGCTTCGACCCCCAGACGACTGGAGTCCGGTACGGCCGAGGATGAGGAGGAGGACGAAGAAAACGATCACGGGTGTGGCTGCTGCTCGCTGTAATTTCTTTCGGAGGACGGGCGATTTACGGCATCGAATTTGCTTCGATTTGGCTTACGAGGTTTTTCTCGTAAAAACTGCGAGGAGAGGTTGGCGGGAGCAGGGAGGGTCCACAGCTCGGCTTTTGAGCTGACAAAGTGCGGCAACGATGGCAGCAAGCTGTAGACGAACTGCTAATGGATGATTTGTTTGGTGTTGAGTGCGCCAGTGGAGCACGCAAGTGCCAATATTGAGCTGGTCACGTCGTTGACGAACGCGTGATCGTCGAGGATTAGCAGCAAGTAGATGCAAATAGAAGCCCCAATTTGTGGCGCCCAAAACTTCAAGAGCGGCCAATTCAGTCGCCTCGCCGCGTCCCCGCCCTTCGTTCCTCCTTTTGAGCAGCATCCACCGAACGCTTCTCGTCTTCTTCCTCGCCTGCATGCCCGGCCTTCTGCCAGCGGCCTGTGCGTGCCCCACCTTCGACGATCGAGCAAGATTTGTAGTCGATCTGTAGTATTTGTTACATTGGGCGAAATCTCAAACCCTCCTCCTCAGATCGTAGCAATCCGAAATCACCCAAATCCTGCCACGGAATCTCATGTCGCAGCTCGACTCAGCTCATAGGCACCTTATTACTGTCAATCGAGTACCCCGCTTTCACGAACCACATCAACTCCTTTCATGAGACATGATCGGCCGAGTTCTCTGCTGCATTCCCCTGCGACCCCACCATCCCCTTCATTCTTACATCCCCTGTCATGAACTACAGTTTCAACGAGCACCGTAAGCTCCTCCTACCTACACCCAAAGCCTGTCCCGCCTGCTGCAAAAATAAGAAAGCACTCACTCCCCATCATTCGTACCTTCATCTCATCTTTTCTCCACTGGTCCCCCACCGACGTGAGCCACAGTTTCTGGCAATTCACTTCTTGACAAAGTCCAGACTTTCACGTTGTATGCTCCCGGTCCAGTCTCCCTCTCGAAACTGTAAATTACTCCACCTGCTGCTGCTGCTGCTGCTGCTGTAGGCATCGGAGATGTGCAGGACCCACCCCCACAGCTCCGTTATGTTTTGTTTTGTTTTATTTGTTCTGCCCGTGAGCGAAACTTTTCGATCCATTCGACTTTCTCCAGTCAGATATGAGCAATAGTAATCTGAAATGTGGATATTTGCACTACTAGTGGCGGGGAGCGCTAGAGGCTTCACTTCTTACTTCAATTTACTCTTCGTGCTTGTGGGTTCCTTTAATTCCAACTCTCCTCTTTGAATTTCGCTTCTTTTCGTCCATATACTGTCTCCTCATCAAACTCCCAAACCTCGAGCCATTTCAATTCCGTCAATCCTTCACGAATGTCATCCACTGTTTTCACCTAATGCTTACCAACATAGGTGTTGAGATAAATGTTCTTAACGTCCCAAAAGCTTTGAAATCATCATTAGTCGAATCAATTCTGACCCCGTTGTTGTATATTTTTCAACTCCACCTGTTTCATCCAGATTTTACATATTTACAAGGTCCCACAAAATCAACTTTTTCTTTATCATAAATATTTTCTAACTCTTTGATCCACAACATTGCATACCCTTTATCTTACTGACTTATTACTCCAATTTGCTTTGCAACCTTCTTTCACTATTGCAGAATCTCTTTGTAGTGCTTCAATCCACATATGTCCATTCCACGGACCTTCTACTCCGATAGATAAGCAACCTACTGGCTTCAACCTCCTCACACATCTTCCTATACACAAATTCTCATCAACAGACTAAAATTGAGCTGGAAAGAGTATTTTTTAATTGTAATAATTACTCTATCATCCAATGCCAATCCAATCCTCCAATCCTCTATCGCCACAGGTCATATCAATCTCGTCGGCGTATATATGTCTAGATTATAATGGGCAAAAAATCTCATTGGTTCATCCAGATAATGTAGTGAAAAGTATTTATCAGCTGGCAAAGAGTTCTTTGATCTATTTTACTGAAGCCTCATCAACCAAGTGACTCAGCATTCCCTCTTGAGATCTCATCTACCTTGAGAGAAAAAAAAATTCAAAGACGACATCATAGATCTGGGTTACTCTGCAAAAAAATTAACTACCATTGTCCACTGTAGAAGAATAAGTTAACTTCAAAGACGAACAACAATAAGATATAACAGTGGGCAAATTGAAGCCAGCCTCACAGATGAAGTTGTAGTGATTGATCCATGGCACCATACAAAGGTAGGACAAAAAATTTCATGAGCTCATCTCCATTTTTTGTTGATATTCTTCAAAGGTAGGAAGAAGTGATTGCATTAAATAATAAGTGGATGAAATAAGATGAAATTGATAAATACTTACACACATATAATATACATTTCTGTGGAAAAATCTTAAGGTTGCGGCTATTGTGTTTATAACTTAAAACAAAACTAGGATAAATTGTGTTCAGAGTGCATTTAAAGAGTTGATGATGCCACCAAGAAAAACCATCATATTTTGTGCTTTCTAATGACGGTACACGAATCGCTGAGAATGTCGGGTTTCTGATAGTGTAAACAATCTTTCATTTCGGAGTAAGATGATATATTGAAACATTTCACCACGCATTGGGAAAGCTAATATAAATCATGAATTACAACGGATTCGTTTGACGTATAAAGTAGTTTGACTAAGATTCTACTATTTTACTTTTCAAAGCTTCTTAATTTTGTATAGATGCTTTGTATATCTTTGAATCTGAATCTGACTATTCATGTCACCTATGGTAGAACTCCCAGAAATGTCGGAGTTTACTCTTCATACAAAAAGCTACTTTATGATGATGATTGAAAGATTCTTCCAGTTCTTAAAGTTTCTCTATTCATTCTAGAACAAGATGTAAATAAGGGGGGTTAAAAAATAGAAATAACTTTTCTATTAGAAGTTCCTACTTTCTTTTGGGAGCATTCCTTCAATGTACTATTATCATGAAGATGTCAAGCCTTATGCATTTACTACATCTCCTCTACCATGATCGTGTAAATTGAAAATGTAGTGTAACTTGAGTGGACTAAAGAGCATAACAATTGCTTTGAGTGAGCGAAGCAGGATTCTGTAAGCAGGATTCATTTTCCTATTGATGAGAACACTTTAAAATTATTCATCAAAGAGTGGTGGTTGTGAGAGATGAGAATAAAAAAAATTAGTCCATACATTTTCTTAGGTGTATGTTCATATGTGCAGAGCAGGACTACTCCACTAGGGAAAGCGAGGTTTCGGGGTAAGAAAGTTCACTCTTTATTTATTATATCATAAGTATAAATATTCTGAAAAAAGGGTGGTCTTCCCTGTAGGAATCCATCCACCTCCACCTAAGGGCAATGAACGTTCAGAGTCCATCTAATAGGCCTATTTCAAGTGCATCAATGTACTCCTAAATCTCTTGTTTCAAAAACTGATCTTGTTAGAAATTAATCACAATATGTGTTTTCAATGCATGAAATTTCTTTCAACACACAAAGAAAGAAAAACTTGCGCTACTCAAATGATGTGCAAATGTTTCATTTCACAACAATAAATGAGGATACCAACAGATTAGTAGTAGATCAGATTTCACAGGATTTGTCATTTGCTTAATATTTTGATTGTGTAGAGATATTAATAACATTAGAATTGGAAAAAAGTTAATTAAACAAGTCTTATGACAATTTTTTTTAAGCATGTCATTAGATAATGCATGAAAGAACTACATGAAAACTTTATGCTTTAAATAGAACATCAACAAGATTCTCACGGTAAAATCGTGATAATCAAGAATGTGAAAAATGTTCATATTTTCAAACTTCAGTGCCTACTAGGACAACAGAATGGATTATGAAGAGTATTTTGCCATTGAAATTTCTGGAAAAATAGTAAACTCATTTTGTGGGAATACTCTTACCAATCAGTAGAGATACTAGTAAAATAACTGTGAATTATGCTACAAAGATTATGGAAGCCACTGCTACTAAATTACAGTAAATGATGAGAAGACATGTCTTGAGTGTCAGTTGTACATTTCAGTGGACTAGCAAGTAATCAAAGAAACCATTCCTCGAATTGTTCGATTGATCAATTCAGACAAGCATATACAAAATATACAAAAAGATGACCTTCGAATCCTATTTTTCCATTCATATCTCCTTAGAAATGAAAAATTGAATGCTTCTCATCAATCTTACCATTCGAGAGAACTTTAAGATACGCACCTTTATGTTAACTATCATGTTAGAAAGACTATTGAATCCATTGCCACTAGAATAGATGATGAGAAGATATTTCTTGAGTTCTTTTTTTATCATGTCATTTGTAGTTTTGAATTTCTGATAGAATTACTTAGAACTCATTTCAGAGCAAATCAGGCAAGGCTATATATGCATACAACAAGATGGTCTTTGAAGACTTTATTGCCGTAGAGATCACTTGAGAGATGGTAAATCGATATTGTTAAATCATTCTCACCTAGCAATGGAGTAACACTTATTTTAGACCAATCAGTATAATACTAAAGCGAATGAGCTAAAAGAAAAAATCAATACTCTCTTGTGTAAGATTCGCAAGAAGGTTACCGTCAATCATGTACATGAATAGGATACAAAGATTCTGGCAGCCTTTTGAGTATTTTGCACGTCATACAAGATTACTACAACGTAGACATTTTGACTTTTGACATGGATCTCATGGCCTGTAGAGATTGCAGCCATCTTCGATTCAAATTCTTACTGCCTCAAAGTCGAAGATCATCTTTCAGATGAGGAAGGTCGACTTTGTCGGTTTTTTGAATTCGCCAAGTTAGAGGAATCTTGTACTGCAATAAGACCCAAAAATTGACAAAAGTCATTCAAGGTCACTGGAAAGGAAAATATGAAACTCGGTTGCGGGCAAGGTAAGAAAGAGTTATTAATATGAACCGCCAAATAAAAAATTCCCGGGAAAATGCATATGAGATAGATAGACCAGTATAAACAGAAGTACTTGTTTGATAATGATTCACAACAGCTGCTTGAATTGGATGTTGCTTTGTTTGCAACTCGTGCTAATGGCTGGAGGGAGGTATTATGAGTGAAGATGTTTGCAGAGGTGCTCACTGCTGAGAGAGGGTGAACGTATGTACGAACTTAGCTAGGAACTTTGAGCATTTTCTATAATAACAGTCGATTTGGGGGGAAGGATGTAGAATGCCCAGAAAAGTAAAACCTTTATGATGTAATATTGATGTCACGAATAATGTGATATCTCGAGAGGGCAGAAAAGGGGCGGGGAAGTCTTGAAACTTAGGGTAATGGCTGGTACGAAGAATTGTCGAGGTATAGACAAGTCATTCTTTATGGCCTGCAGTTCATATCCTAGGTCTTTGTGATTGACTTTTATGGATTCCACTTATCCCTTCGCTGATGCTCAGAGTTCGTGTGATCATACATTGGCACTGGATTGGGCGAATTCCGGCGGTCTTTATTATTCATCAAATACAGCTTGAGTTATTTCAGATCTTTGCATGACATTTCTACTTTTCACGTCGTAGTGTACTTCCTCCCTCATAATGTTTCATACAGTAAGTGTCCTTGCGCTTGAGCTTCGAACTCTGATCTTTGTCCGAAGAGCTGGACTTCTCTTCAGCCAAGGTGGTCAACGCTTCACTAGAAAGGCATCTTCGTTGTTCTAGCCTTAAGATACTAAGTCCTTTGACTCTTGCAGTAAGCCTGTCCCCCTTTTGCTCTTTAGCAATGAGATATGATTGTACCCACAATGTTGGACAACGAAATGTGCTCGACCGGGTCAAATTCTCGATATGCCCGAACACACCATTCACTGGCCATAGCAGCCTATTACTCTTCGGTATTCACCGCAGTGAAAAGCATTCTATCTGAGAAGTTGAAAACTTGCCCTGTGTAATGAACATGGCTTTCGGTTTTCTCCTTCCAAATAGCACCTATCCTTCTGAGGCATCCTTTTTCGTGACCCAATTCTTGGAATCTTGCAATCAACCGCCTTAGAGCCTATCCCAAGAGGAAGTTTCAGCCACAAGGGTTTCTCTTAGTTGTTCATCAATATCTACGCCCCTTTTCACATGAGTCCCGGAAAGCTTTCGCGACGACCAAGATGGTATCGATGGTTCTCTTGAATCGTGCGGGTATCGCTGCTTGGTGATTGGAACCTTAATATTTGGAGCAAATGTGGTCTCCATTTCCTCAACATTAGAGTGAGGCTCTAGGTTGATGCACACGTCTCGGAGTATCTGACACAAACCTTTATGGTCAGTCACCGACCATAGATTTCGCACTCCTTTAATGAAAATTTCACGGGTAGAAATTACGAGAAACTCTAAATCGAAACTGACCTTCCTCTGCAAAAGCATTGGGGTCATACCAGGTCCATAAAACCACGAAGTACAGACAGAATTCTGCATGTGACCCAGCGGCGAAACCCGCAACCTCGTACCTCGACACGGTATACTCAGGGAAGTCTATGGGGAAAAAGCTTACTGATGAAGACATGGAGAAGAGGCGAGATGTAGTCTCTTAAAATATACGTAGATTGGTAGTTGGAGGATGAAGAGGATTCAGATTGCTGACGTACATAGTAACCGCTTTTTAACATAAACCAAGTGTACACATAAAGCGGCCACTCTTCTCACCGAATTGCCCAATGGCAGGGCCTTCCAACTCACGACAGCTATATTTGATGAAGCGGTTGGAGTTTTTTAGCTACTTAGTAGCCACCCGCCTTTACCTTTTAAATACCTTAGTGTAGATTGGGGAGTTTCAAAGCTACCACTAAAATCCGAACGAACCAAACTAAAGGCCAAACGAGACCCAACTTTTTCAAGCTTCCCAGGATGAAGTAAGAGATAGCTCCAGGTCCAGCGATACCAAGGTAACACAAGTTGACTGAGTGAGTGAATGAAAGACAAACGCCTACTGCCTGAGCTCGCTCGACGTCCTGACTCTGCCATACTTTCATATAAACGACACAAACATACAGTACCTCCAGGCTGACTACCATGAAGGTGCACTCAATCAAACCTAGTGTACTCATTCGATCCTCAAGAATGCGCAGACGCAGACATAAATGAATTCTCACGGAAGACTATCCTCAGTGTAATCCAGTAAAGACAGTTACGGTGTTGAATCAACTCTTCATTGAATCCAATTTAGACAACAAAAGAAATTTTGTCCAAATTCTGTATAAATTGTGATACTGAACTACCTGCTAGACATTACTTAACTACTCTCAATCTGGCTGCAGCCCTCTGTCCGGTCCTCTACGAAGTTCTAAGTGACAGTTCGTGAAGACCAGTAGTCAGGAGATAAAATACAAGACTGCCGAGGGGAAAAGGTCTAAGGCTGGTCAGAGTCACTGCACAGCCTGAAAAGCCTCAGGACATTCCCCGACAAAGCCCGAGGATAAGTGGGATCAGTTTTTACATTTTCCAGGCTGCGAAAGCTAGCTCAAATATGTCTGTGTCCACAAAGAACATGGCCTGAATTGAAGCCGCATGATTTCCAGACTCAATTGAAACAGCTAATGATGGGGCGTGCTACGAAGGCAATAATAGTCTTGGGATGTACTTGGATCATAAAGGTCGACTGGATGTATAAGACGCCTAAATAAAATTTCTCTGCTCGTGTATAAGCAAAACTTTCGGTGACACTAGATCACAGATAAGTTTGTGAACTAAGTCCTCTTTCTGCGGGTACTGCGCTCATAATTACAGACACATTGTTTGCAGACACCTGCATCAAGCCACATTTTCTTTCTGTTTACAAGTACCAGACGACTGATTGCATACTCAAAAGTAGGCACTACCCGGCTATCAGTAATTTTCTCGACTCATCATACAAAACTAGATTTTGTATGGCAAAAGAATATGAATGATCATACAAATGAGTTTCTTTGTATGTTCTCCTTTTCATCTGTTACCCGAGCCGGACCAGTAGGACTTCCGGAACTATTTCCAGCCTTGACATTCTTGGTAGCTCCAGCATCATCGTTGCTGCTCCCAACGCCAGAATTCGAGTCTCCAACCTTGTTAGCTCGAACGCGCAGCGGACTCAGTTGAGGACTATTATTTCTCCTTTGTAAACTTTGTTGTCTCCACAATGGACTTACTAATTCCGGAACGACAACAGGTACATTAGCTGGAACAGTATTGGGAATAGCTGCGGCAGCGGTGGCAGCTGCGAGGGCAGAGGCCGTTGCTGCTATGCCTGAGGTGGAGCTTGGAGGTGGTGGAATTGGCACAAGCTGAATTAGGGCTGTTTGCCTTCTTCTCTGCTTTGCGATTGGCCTACCCTTTACATTTACCTGTTCACACACGAGAACTGGTTAGGGCATCCTAGTACAGAACCAGAGATAAAGGAGATTGCGGCTTGCCAGTGCGATAGATGGGTTATTATTATGTGAACAAATAGTGCCTGTTGCTTGGAGTACTTGGATTACACCCTTTTGGAAGTTGAATGAAACAAACCTTGGTATTGCCGATATCCTTCAGAGCACGCCGTTGAGGCTTCTTCGCCACAACCTCATCTTCTCCATCTCGACTGGCATCCCGGTAATCAACCTCTTCCTGGACTTCAGCGTTTTGAGTCTCCTCTTTCCATGCACTTTCCAGAAGGGTCGCGACATGCACTGCCAGCAATCTCTCGGCTCTCTTTGTGACGTGCTCTCCGACCTCTACCCCAGAAGAGGGCTTCCCGGTCTCACCCGGGTCATTGAATCGTCGCTGTGTTTGATCCACTCCGACAGACGCCACGGTTTCTGCCATTTCCATTTGAACGGAATTGGCCACCGAGGATGGTTCCTCTTCCACCTCCAAAGCTTCACGGTTGTTGCACTTGCCTGCTTTGCACCCACACCCGGACCCGCAGAGACCACCTGCAGCCTTGCATTCACATTTATTCGTCTTACAGCCTGAACTCCGACCACATGAGCAAGAGCACGTGGACAAGCGCTCTTTTTCCTTATCTTGGTTATCTTCAAGGACGTTCTCACCTGAGCTTGAGCGTGACAATTTGACCCCAAAAGGCTCTTGCTCTTGACTATGCAGTCCGTTATGGGAACCGCTCCGATTTCTGTCTAGGGACATGGACTTTTGTCTTGAAAGTCTAAAACCACCAAGTGCTCGGTTGCTCCTGACTGCCTGCCTTTCCATATCTTCATTCCATTCTTCGTCCGACTGTTCTGTGTCCATGTCCAACTCCCCTTCGGAGCTGTCACTCTCCAAATATGGAGCTTCCGTCGTGTTCGCAGAACCGCGTCCAGCCTTTTGGGGATTGAAAGTGTAATGGTGATGGCAAGGGACAGTGGGTTCAAGGTATTTTAGACAATTTTCGTTTTCATATTGAAGCTCATGAATGAATTCAGCAGGAAAAGAAGAACAGTTTGAAAAGACAGACACTTGCACGCTTTTTCGGCATTTTGAACTGGAAAAAGGCTGCGTTCTTTGTGGCAAAGCCAGGGTACTTGTGTGTCCGCCGACTGGACTTGTTCTAGTCTACCTTGGAACAAGTCCTCGCGGCGAACGTCGGTTTTGGGGATGTTGTAAATGGTAACCCACCCGACCCATGTAGCGATCAAAGCGTGATAAGATCATTCCAGACAACGAGCTTAACGAGCTCTAAGCATTTCTATGCATTTTAAGTCAAGGTTCAGAAACATGCCTTTCTTGTTGTGTATGGATGGCCCTCGTTTGCAGAGGAGGCTTGTTCACTTTGCATTTGCTCTAGAAGGGTCTTAGACCGCGTTCTTGTCTGAGGAGCCTGAGTACGGAGAGCGCCAACGCCAGCTTTGCCTTTTTGGCTGACTTCTTGCTTCATTCCGATATTCAAACCAGCCTGCAAATTACGAGCAAGCAAATTATTGAAGATTTGCAGAGCGAAATGATTATTACAGCGAACAAATTTGGTCTGTATGAGCGTTTCACATTCCAAATCAGTGAAACAAGTACCGAACTTACATCGGTAATTGTGGTGAGAGATGACACTCCAGTATGTTCCCTTGCCCAGTTTTGCCTCTCGAGATCCTTGCGACGAGACTCACTTTGCCGCAACAGCTGTTCGAGTTCAATACTCTTCTCCTTGAACTCCTTGTGCTCATCTTCAATATCTCCGAGCCGGCATCTGAAACAGTTACATGAAACCACGATCCAAGCGTTAGATGAAACGTTGTACTTCGTTGCCACATACAATGCCTTCGCATCTTGCCGGATAAAGTACGAAACAATTTCTTCGTGCTATGGATGTGGAAGACGAGGGAAACTGGAAAAAAGGAACTAGGGCAATAGGACGGAGAGTTCAAATCTTTCATACTTGGCAAATGCTGCGGCATCAAACGTCAATTGTAATAGACTCTTTGCATCTCCCATTGACCGCAAATGTTGCCACCTGGCCCTGCCACCATATATTCTCTCTCGCTCCTCAGCTTCAGATAGCTGAGAAGCCATCGCTACCAGCGCACTTGAAGAGGAGTTCAACAAGGTCTCTAGCAAGCGAATGCGTGCACTCCTTGCACCTGGAGACATGGAAGGACTGGGATTGACAGCACTGGACAAAAAATATGAAATGTGATCAGTTCCCCGGAAAATTGCGAATCAGAAACAGTTCCAACAAATCCATCACTTTCAAACGCGAAAGAGAACACTAGCAGAAATAACTTCTCTAACTTTACCTCTGCAGCATTTCTTCTTCCTCCTTGAGAGCTTGCAGCTCCCTGGCGAAATCCACTCGCCTGTAAGTACAGATGATGCACACTAGTCAGCTCTGACTCTGAAAGGCGGATTAACTCAAGTGTATGCGCCACAACGAGTTCCAGGTCCATGAAAGGGCAACGAGCAACTTACTCTTCCGTTTGTTTCTCATATGCTGACCGGACTTCGTGAACACGTACAGCCATTTCCAGCTCTTGGTCCAGCCAATTCTGAAGGGTTTTCTCGTTGTTCTGCCACGTCATGGATCACAATTAGATGATGAAGTCTCGTGAGTATAGTGGACTGAGGAGCACGGATTAAGTGTAACAGAAGCAAGAGAGCTTTGTAAGATGAAACACGACGAGGAATGGGATAAAGTGGGCAATAAGTGTTGTACCTGTGTTGAACCACCGACACCGGGAACACCTGTAGATGAAGCAAATGGTTAGAAAAGAGATAAACAAATTCCTCGACTTCGCTCAAGCTTTGATAGCTTTAATTCAGCTCAAAAAAAAATACCACAAGGAATTAAGATTTCATATAATTCGCTTTAAATGGACACAAGTCAATGATGAAAATACAGCAAGATCCTCTGATAAGCACAGACCTTGAGCAGAATCTTTTGGAGCTTTGCGAGCCTCAAGAAGCTCCTTCAGTCGACGGGTAGCCACAGCTGCTTCTTCAGTCTTCCTTTGCAGTACCTGAGAGGTCCGTTAAGTGACTGTTAACCATGTGCTCAGGACTTTCCTAAACGGTTCTTCACTACAACGAGCCTTACAAATTATGTTTCTGAGAATCACGGCTAGGTTGAACCTGAAGTGATGACCTATCTGTTAGGACCCAAGGATCAAGCAAAAATTCGAATAAAACCAAAACCAAAAAACAAAAAGATAATTCGACACTTCTAGAATTCGGAACTCACCATCTTTTGACGCTGATGCAGGGCTTGTAGCTTGTGCATTTCGTACTCATTTCTCCGACCCTCTTTTCGAAGCTGCATTAACAGTAGCCAATAACTTAGATAATTGAACTTTGCACATTGCATGTCTACGGTACTGTCGAAATGTGACGGCAGAAGCTAGTATTCAATTAATTCTTAGAAAAACCAAATATGTGTGTCCCCATGATAATCTCCTTGCAATCTAGCAGGCTATATTGAATTTCATGAAAGCTGTAGATGGAGACCTGGAGGAGCTCCTTCTCGCGGGACGCTTTCCACAAGCGGAACTGTTCCGATTCACTCTTGATTTTCTGTTGCAGTTGAACCTGAGAGTCGACGAGAAACAACATCATGTCATAGAATATAAGCAGGAGACATAGGTCTTTTTCAGCGTAAATAAAAAAGTGAAGTGCAATTTCAACTACTTTCCAGGAAGAGTCTGAAACCGAAATTATTATTAACAAGCCGCTTAGCCGCTTGTTCCTCAGTGATACGAGAGGGACACGAACCTTTTGGGTCTTAATGCGATGAATCTCCTCTTGCAACCGCTTGGCTGCCTCGTCGGCACGTTGCTTTGCCTTCAGATGTTGAGATTGATTCTCCTGCTTCTTCTTCAAATCCGATATCTGAAAATCCAAGCAATGCAGGTTGTGAAAACAATATCGTAAATATCTATGACAAGGCTTGCTGCAGCCCAGATCTGTCTCAAATACGACCGAAATGTGCTGAACAGAAAAAGTTTTATAAAACGAACAAAGAAAAGAATATGGTTAATACAGCGTCTCATGAACAGATGAACAACGCACGAAAGATAGTATCTTCATTTTGTGAGGTCGTCAAACAAAAGTTAAACGGCATTTACCTGCGTCTCAAGATTCTTGAGCTTCGTGCTGTAGGACTCTTCCATCTTATGAGTCTGCTCGTCAGACGTAGTGGCCAGAGTTTCTAGTTCGCTCATCAGCATATCACGCTCCTTCTGCAAGTCGCAAAGTGCAGAATGATCTTAAACGAATGATCACCTTTTGATAACTCCATTTACAAGTGATATCGGAATAATAATCAACCAACTATTGGAAAGAAACCAATCTTGCACTAAGCAGAAAGGTGGACGAAAAGTACGAGAAGCTGCAAAACACTGTTCTACAACATCAAGCAACGGTAGTAAATTTCAATCGAATAAAGACACTATCTTACATTCAAAGATCATGTTCGAATGGGACTTAATCTTTTGTAATTTACTGCAAAATTGTTGACATACTCTCCTACGTGACTTTCAATACATTTTGCTCTTACTGCTATCAAGATCTTAAGAAAAAGACAGTAAAGCGCCACATGGCGATCGCGGACTGATATAGAAACAATAATAGCCTGTAACAAGCAAAGAAAACTACCGTAACTAAAGTTGACAACACATAAGGAAATTTCTGTGCATGAATACTGATTCTTCCAATGTGCATCGCACAGGGCACCGAGGTACTGTATATAACTAGCAATATTGTAAATAATATTAGTTTGAGCACCTGCAGAACTTTCTTCTCCTCTTCCAGCTCCACCAATTTTCTTTCAAAATGCTGCTTGAGGACGACCGCGTCTGGGCGTGCAAAACTTTTCATCTCCGCCTGAGCAAAAGCATGACAATCGGTTTGAGAAGCCATGTTACCCCCGAAAGTAGAAAAAAATTTGTTCCTCGCATTCATAAGCTCTTCACAAACTTACTTTCTGTTCACATTTGATGAATCTTGGTCTATGTTCACATCTAGAAAAACTTCATAAGCCTCGTACCTCTTTCTGTTCGAGACGTTTATTCAGCTCTTGTAGTTCCTTATCAAGGTTCTCTTGTAGCTGAGCATGCTCTGCTTCCTTGGCTTTAGCTTCTGGATCGGCAGCTTCTCCTTCTGCCACGCAATGATTAGGTTTCTAAGGAGCAACAACACACACTCGACAGGGAACTATAGACCGGATGTAAAAGACAAACCAACAAGAGGTGTCGATGACTTGCCAAGGCATCGATATTATGTACCTCTTTTCCTAAATAAAAGGTTCTCATTGTGACGTTTTTCATCCTCTTGAATACTCACGATTGTGTAATAATGATTAAAAAAGTACCTGCAGCAGTGGGAAGCACCAAATCCAAGGACGAGGCATCGCCATTGGAAATATCTGGAAAATCCACAATTCTCGACGCCGCGTCTACATCTGTGAGAGCTATGCGAGAGACGACAGACCGGCTGGTCGGCACTCCGGACATTTCAATCTTTTGAAGCTGATCTTCAAGCTCCTGAATACGTAAGAGGTGCTGTTTGAGCAATCCCTCACCCTGGACAATCAAAATATCAAAAGGTCAAACACCAAGGGCTCTTCCAGGGACATTATTGAAAAGCAAAGTGAAAAATGTTTGCGGAGCCTTCTTTAAAACCATCCTAAGCCTAGGAAGTAAGAAACAGAACACTGTCATTCCTTTCAATGCTGTTCATCAAGTATCAAGACCCACCTCTAGGTCGCCCTCCTCGTCAATTTCTTCGAAAGTCTTTCCAGAACGAAGCTTTTCAAGTTTCAAGTGAAACCTGTCGCGCTCTACCTGGAGGACACGAAGAGAGTCACTGATCAGCGCGCCTAATCCCCGTTCCAGAAGTCTTACATTGGCTACGTGGTCTCAAATGCGCTGTCTGGCCTAATTTCTTCGGAAGGGTGGTAACCTTTCCGAAGAACCTTTTCTACTTAAAAAGTTAGGGGAAAAACACACCCGTGCCTCCAACGCTTTTTCACTCAGATCTTGTATTTGGCTACGGGTCTCCTTGAGCTCCTGGCGCATATCGGAATTGCTCGCTTCCAGCCAGACGATCTTCTGCTTCAGCAACTGCAAAAAGGAAGGCATATGCTGATAAAATTATGCGACTATTCTGATAGAATTGCATTCAAGGCAACCTTTGGTAGAGTAAGTTAACAGATGAGCCTAAACTCTGTACCATCAACGTGTCGGTTGTCACAGAAGGCTCTCGTGATGTACGAGAAACGATCAACTATGAATTGTGAACGAGAGTGATCACAATACCTGGACTTCTTCTGGTGCACTTCCCGTCCGAGCACAGAGAAGTTCTGCTTGCATTAATTCCAGCTGCTGACGCATCCGCTGCATCTCTGCCGCCATTGGATCGCGGTTAATCTGGGCATAGAGTAATTTATGGTGAGTAGCGGACAAATGCTCGATCTGGTCATGATCACAAGGAACTTGTGAAATTTCATCATGGGAAGACCGTTGGAGGCACTACAAGTCTATCAATCAGAGAAATGACACTGGCTTATATGTCTTTGTTGGAAGGAACAGTACTAGGTTCTCATTCCACTGCTCATGAAGAATACACTGCAAATGCTAATTTGTGAAGTTGCTTAACTAAGTCATTTAGCTCCACACTAGTGTCACAGGCCGTCACGCGGTGTGAGAAAGTACTCACTGTGGGTTTGTTCTGAATGTTTCTTGCTCTGTTGGCGTATTTCAACGTGTTTAGCGTCTCTTCTGCGTTTGAATCAGCTGGACTAACACAAGCTGCGAAATATTGATAGTTAATTAGATCGCGCAAAAGTGAAGTTCACATGAAACCTCCATCAGATTATTATGATCGGTAAATCAGGAAAGCAAAGGAAATTGACAGTCACAAAGGTGTCGGTAAGAGCGGGTCAATGTGTGTGTTCTACCCGTGCAACAGCAAGAAGATGGGGCTGGTCACATATGCATGTCAAATGAAACAAAATTAACAAAAAGTATTTGTTCAAGCCTCCCTTGAGCTTACCGATCATAACTGTCCTGCTATTGCCTCCGAGTGAATCCTGTTCAGAAAGACAAGACGAATTAGCAGACATTTAGGTGGCATAATGATCGGAAATAAGAATAGAAGTATCACAAGGCTGGAGTTCATCGATCAGCTCGCACATATTGGAAGCATTACGTGGAATCAACTGCGAACTGACTTCGATATGGCTGAATACGAACAGATTTTAAACTTTTGAGAGCCTTGCCTGCAGGAGACGAGTGAGCTTACTATCCCTGTACGGAACATGCCCACCCTCTTTCCGCTTCTTTTCATCACCAAGGGCACTGATAACATTTCCAAGGGCAAGAAGACCTTTGTTGATGTGAACGCCTGTTTCAGAACAATTCTTGTCAAAAACCTGGACTTGATGTCTACAGGGATATCAATCTGTGTCAATCCTCGACATACAGAAGAGCGTCAGTTAGTACACAGACGTCAAAGTTCCCAATCAAGAAGACCAATACCTTCTTTGAAACGTACTCCATCTGCACCCGTTCTTTTTGCTCGTTCGGAACCGGCGAGATCTACGAGATGCAACTTCGCACACAAATAGTCTTCACCGGCATCTTCAAGCATCATACTACCTCCATCCATAGGCATCTCCCACTTCCGGCGCTGCTCCAGCGTAATTGTAAAAATCGCATGCGATCGACTGAAAGAAAAAATAAAATTATAATCACCACAATCAGGCAATTATCGTACCAAGTCATCGCAAGACCAGGCATGTACGGTATCGAATTAGCACATAGGGAGATGAAACTACAGGAACGGCACCTGGAGCGTGTGTTCATCATGGTACTGCCTGTGGCGCGGCACAACGATCCCTGTTCTAAACACAGTGCCATCTCAGCTTGACTGGTAACATCAGTCTCTGTTACACCAGCAAGGGTAATTCCCCCATTGGTGGTCTCTCTGATCTGTATCGGCGGTTTCCCAGAGGTCATTGCTTTCGTGCTTCCACTTCCAAATCCAGCAGCGTTGGTCAAATCGGCTTTGACCGTTGCAGGAGGAGTAGGGTCAAGCAAGTCGTGAACTTCTTCCTTCAAAATCTAATAGACATTCACAAACAATAATTCGCAGCGACTCAGGTAAAACATACACAACGACTGGATTCAATAATCGAACGCCTGTTTGAACAAAAAGAGCTGAGGCGTAAACCGTGGATCGCTCAAGGTGCAAACATACCTCTATAAAGGACACTCTAATTTGAAAATCTGCTTTCTGTTTCAAAGTTTCGACCCTTTGGAATATAGTCTCCATGACTTTCGGTATAACTCCTTCCGTACTGCCTCCCACGGTGTATCCAGTTCCCATAGTATACGTCTTCCCTGAACCAGTCTGTACGCACATGTAAACATGATACAAGTTACAACCATCCAGTGAGGTGGATACTTCGGGCAATGACCTCGGGATTTTGGTTCTTGTCTCAAGTTTTATGGCTGTTAGATGATTAAAAGAAACGTCCGCGAACACAGAACAGTAACCAGTCTTAAATGACACGGATGGGACAGCGTTGAGCAAGTTCGTTCATCACCTGTCCGTAGGCAAGTACGGTGGCATTGTAACCTTGAAACAATCCCTCGACCAAAGGAGCTACACATTCTTCAAAGATAACGGACATGGGTGCTCCTGTACTCCCATAAACATGATCGAAGGTGAACGAATGTGAACCTATTTGCACCTGCGCAACGGAACACTCTTCAGTGAGTCACAGGTACTAAAGACAAGAAACGTGGATAATTGGGACGACTGCGATTAGTCCGTGTTGATTCGTGGACTAATGTGAAACAAACATGTTACTACATGCACATAATGCTACACAGACAACGTCGTCATGGCGGCTCCACCCACGACCTGCAACATTGTGAGTTCGGAGAATCCCCGCAAGGGGTAACAGCCGAAATGTGGATCAATTGGAAGCAATTTGTTAAAAAAGTGATTTGACCACCCCGCATTCGAATTTCTCGGCTAGTGAACCTCGGACTGCTCCTAACATAAAGTCCGCTGCTTTGGATGTGGAAGAAGGCACCATTGAGGAAAGGATTCCTGTCTGGGCAGTTTCAGTCAAAGGTGAGACTCCTACATCTGCAAAGTGGTGATTAGGCACCAAATACTTCTAAATGGAAGTGCCCAGCAGCAACATTGCTCCTTGAACCAAACTCATCGCACGTAGAGGCGTTGAGTTTCACATTATCAGATCAAGGCCAATGCGGGCCTAGAAGAGTCATGTATCCTTCATCTTGAATCGTTAACGTCGATCACCAGATTAAGCATTGACCATTACACGAAACCATGTCTAATTATTTTAGTCAAGAAGGAACGTGAAAAAGCCTGACAAATGTGTGCAGTATGTACTGGTAGGTGAAGCGCATGAGCTATAATCCTCTAAGGACCAGGAAGAGGCTCTCCGCTTTAACCAATTGCGTTGTAGTAAGCTCCGGACCGAACTTCACTAGCTGGGTCTTAAGCATAGCTTCATGCCTCACCTGTGGTTCTCCAGCGACAACTGTGATGCAGTCTTTACAGCCTTGAAGCCGCTCCAATCCTATCAAGGGTCGAATATTCAGAGCTACTTTGACTGCAAGAGTTGCATCCTTGTCCACACTTCCCCCGATGCCATATGCGCACTCTGAGGGAACCCCGTCGGCACTCTCCATGGCTGGAAACAATTCAGCTCCTGTCTGACAGCTTCGGGAATTGACCTCGACTAAAATTGGGCGTGAGTTCTCATCCGAATACCAAAGTAAACACCTCGTTCCCTCTACCTATACAAATAAGATCCCAAGCACAGACGAGAGGGCAATGCTTATGCCTGCCTCCACTGGACGGTCCCGAGATCATTGTATCGAATCAACACAATGTCGCCCAATCTTGAGCCAATCGTGCAAAATGCAACTTCTCGTGAGAAACGCTCTCAGGCCTCCCCTGTAATCTGAAGGTTCTGAACTGGTCCACTACAGACGAGCGAGTGCAAGTTCGACTTAATTCCAACATGTGCAGAAGCTGAAAAGTAAGCTCTCTGAAGCTACCCTTCAGCAATCTACGCAGCTACGAGACCAGACGACACTGTCAAAACGCACGTCCCCGAGAGTTCAGACCAAATCACGGACGCTCCTTACAGCATCGACTGAGCGTTCATGGCAACGACGGGGCGCAGCAATTGCAGCTTTGCTCGGCCATCCGGCTCCGATCTGCTCGAAACAGCGCTGCTGCGGATGCTGGTGCAGAGAGCCCGGGCGAGACTCGTACCAGTCCGTGGCCCTTCCTCGATTCCTGCTCCGGTTCCTGCACCAGTGCAACGTCCGAAAATGACTCTCTGCTCGCCGGAGCCCGACTCAAAAAAATTCAAATCTCGGAGAACCAATCGTACTGCTCGGACGTAGCGTATCGCACTATCCCATTCTACACGCATCCTCTGCCCGCACTAACTCTCCCGACTTTTGCCAGCCTATTTCATCTCTCGAGGCCTCGGGCAAACTCAAGAAGCCAGGGGTCATCAGCTGAAGCGCAAGAAGCAGCTCCGCCCCGACGCGAGCGAGCGAGCGAGCGAGTAGGCAAGACCAGTCTGCGTGACTCTGTCTCCCACACGACAGGCGCTCTGGTAGATCACCGTTTCTCCCGCGGTAACTTCTCGGATTTACTGCCTCCTCTCGGCACAGTTCGAAATGCATCACCGGCTGATCCGACTGACATCCAACTCTATCCTGACACTTCACCCCGCGCAGTCCACTGCGTGGTTACAGTATTTTCAGCCAACAGTCTATAACCTGCGGCCTGCGATGGGCGTCCCCCGCAGAGACGACGATCGGCAGCCGCGGGATGAACATCGGACGAATCTGGTGCGCGTTTCCTGTAGATTCCTGACTGTAAGACGTGGTCGGCTGGGATAACTACCATTATGAAGACGTTGCAAGTAAATGCGTCACCATGGCAGCGCATGTTCATCAAGTCAACACCACGGGAACAGCCGGGATACGAGGTTACCGCGGTCAACCGCGGAGTAACCTAAAATTTGAACTTGATGAAATTCATGGGTATCATGAGATGCTCATCATGGCTATGTATGGGCATGACATGGTCATAGATTATTTGAAAAAGTAACGTCTTTATGTATTTGTAAGGCGTTCGTATTTCGACCAGCCTGGCCGCACGTATAGCTGAAAGGCTGAAAGGCATCGAGCTGACGCTTGACGTCCGGACGTGCTAGTGATTGGTCCTTCGCAACTCTGCCGTCGACGTGTGACTTTCGACGGTAGAGTCATGGTCTGCGGCGCGGCGCTTGATGAAACCGAGGACACTCACGAAGTCACCAGTTTCGATCCACTCAGCGCACCGGGCCGTTTCAAACATTGCTCGTAGACATATCACCGAATACCAGCCACACCGGTGGCGAACCGGCTGCACCGGCTGCTCTCGTCTTCCCATATATAGAACGAGGAAACATTTTCGAGACCCTCTCCGACATTTTCTTGGACAAATGCCGAGCAACTATCATGAACATCGTGAACAGACAGACAGTGATGGGGGAGATAGTTCAGATTTTCATGGGAGCATCGGTGACCACTTGACCCTTTTCAGTCTTTTTTACCACTCAATTTAAGATCATAGAGGTCTGGAGCTGACAGCACAAGTTACTCCCGGGAAACGCGTTGTATTTCCGGTTACGGAAGCCAACGTTTGAATGGCAATTTTTATTTTCCGCTATCGTGAACTGTGCAAATTCTGAAGACACAGTACTGTGGATTAGGAACAAAATTCTCCATCCGAGACCTGGTATTCAACTCCTTTACCTTTTTATCCATTTGTGGGTGAACTCAAAAGAAACTGCATCAGCAAAGATGTTGTTCTTAACTCTTCAGTGCTCCTGCAAATTTTGGATCTTTCTCAACGTACAAGTAATAGGTGCTAGTCTACGCCGAGCTCCTACATGAATATAATGACAATCGGAAAGTTCTACAATATATAATACAAGAATCAAAACGAGATGGACAAAAATGCATCGCGTGTTTCTATCGTTTGCATATTCTGCAGAAATCAAACGTACGTATCTCATCAGGTGTACATACCCAAACATATATAACGTAAAACCAAATGGGAGATTTCTTGTACAGATCTTCCGTTCATAACACATATATTGTACGACATAAACAATTAAGCTCTAAATAAGATCATAAGTAATACTTTTAAAAACTATTTGCAAACTAGACCACGGAAATCCACTAAACACGTCAAACTAATTGACCACAGGAAAACAAATGTTCCCATCTAAACATTCCATATAAATAAATCTCTTGTTGAATAACCACAATTTATGTATTTGTTATTTTATTTATATTCATAGGTGTGTGTGTGTGTTTGTCTGATCGCTCTAACTTTTGATAATCATTTTCCCTTAACCTTTATTAAAAATATGAAGAAAATTTAATCAGTGATCAAGATCATGAACCTAAGATGCAGCGATTGTTGATACTTTATTAAAGCATATTAAATTGAAAAAAACGTATCTAAAAGCAGCTTTCTTGAACACTGAATTTTCCTGTTTGCCCAAATACATTGTGAATATCTGATATATACGGATGAACGTAAACATTTCAGACGATAAACTGTAAAGAATATTATTTTTTATTGAAATAATGTGTTCACCAATTTGATGTGCATAAATACCAAATTTATATAGATTTCACCAGGCTTTTGTTATCAAAAGTCTAGTACATTTTTGGAAATGATATATTCAGTTAGAGAGATAAGATAAAATGATTCAGTGGTAATGACTACATCACAACAAAATATATCAGATAGTAAATACTTAAAATATATTGTAAATACTGAAATCTTAGATATCGGATCACAAACTATAGTTTGTCAAACTGATCCACTGTTTTGAAACCAATAGCATAAAAACAACTTAAGCCTTGATAAAAAAAAGCATTTATCATAATATTTATATGTATGTGTATAAGATTTTGGTGCATATATAGCTTTAACTTTCTAATAAGATAACAACAAATATTTTTTGAAAAATGGAAAAAGTTGTTAGGGATAAAATAATTACAAGTATCAATTTATTTTATCTAAAATTAGTTCTTATTTCAGGTTATACTTCATTTATCTGCAAGGAATCATGCAGTTTATAGATGATCTGATTTTGTTTAAAATTTTTACAGAATATAATGAATTTAAGTTTTTGACCAACAAATTTCCAGTTTGAAATGAAAAACGTCTTATAATATATGCAAGATGTTATCTTTTTAAAAAAAATAAAAAAATTGGCATCAAATGAACTAGTGTACAAATCTTTTTCTCCGGCTTTTTTGAAAGTATACATGTTTCCTTCCACTGATAAACATTGTCTAACCAATGACCCTAAAGAAGCTCATCAGACATATGCTTCACCAACTAATTTGTTGACAATTTAGCATCAACTTATGTAGATCATCACTTGACAGCTTTTACAAGTCATATTCTTCAATGAGGAGGAGAGTTTAAATATACAAATAATGAAAAGATTCACTCCTGATTTCAAAGGGAAAGTACTGGGTTATACTCACTTGTAGTGTGGCAGTGTGATCAACAAAGAGTGCACCAACACAGAGTAATTGGCAGTGCAGCATACTGTTGAGGCGAGGCTGGATACCTCTTGCCAAATATAAACTCGAAGAAGAGAATGCAAGATAATGCCTTTAACATGTTAATGATGATATAATTCTAGATAAATTTATTTAGTTAATAAATGTAGGCTCAAACTGTATGTATTGATGATACGAGTAAAGAAATTAGTACTTATCTGCGGGAAGGATTAATATGAACTTACAATCTAGCCAGCAATGACTTAATTTGAAACTGTTTTTACCATGGCTGAGAGACTACGCTTTGCACGAAATCGGTGCTGGATTTGAAAACTGATTTTCTCAGTTTTCTGGCTATGTTTCCACGAGACATTTTCGGCTCATCGCACCTCTTATACTTCTTGCGATCCTGCTAGAGTATCGGCCTTAGTTCTTCCACTCATAATATGTGAGAAGTACAACCATGCTAAAATCTCATCAAATTCAAGGAGAGAAATATCTACGAAGGGAAACTGGGTCGATAAAATTTGTATTTGTCTTGGATCTATTCCAGAATTCAGGATTCTGCGGTTTCGAGCTAACGTCTGGTTCGAGTTATATGAATTTGTAAGTAATCAAATCAGAAATGATGACCGGGGCATGGCTCTTGTGACATTTCCATCAGGCTCGGAGGGTGCGTGCTTGACAAGACTGGAATCCTGGATGATGGCCCTGCCCTACGCCATGTATGACTCGTCTCTTTTCGTCTACTCTCTGTAGGTAGATAGATAGATGCTTTTTGAATCCCAGGTTTGAAGAATATCACTCATCGATCAGACCAACCGACACTCCGCTTGAATTCTCAGCCCACGTCATTCACTCAATTTGACAACACCATTAGCATCATGACGTCCATGAGTTGAGGGGCCACTCCTTCCCAACCAATAACTCTCTTCATGTAGACGAACCGTCCAGCACTATTCAAATTTCCGTTGTCTGGCCCATGAGAGAGTTGGCCAAGAAAATATGCATACACCTCCGTTTTCCTATCTGCTGGACCATTCTGTACATTACAATTTGAATTGTAACATAATCAATAGTAGTCCAATATATATATATATATATTTATATTTATTTATTTATTTATATGAGACTATGTACTGTATCAATATCAATAAATCTCCTCGTAACCCCATGTATGGACGAATGATTGGAAGTTGAAAATATACAAAACTGTGTGTGAATCGAGCATATGGATTCTCCACTTCATCGAAACTAAGCTAGAAAATGTCTAAATTCAGGCGAAGGGATTCTAATAAGGATCTGGAGAGTAGAAAGAAGAGGAAATATGACCTGGGGAAGCCTCCTCTCCTCGAGTAGAAAGTGACCGGGAGACCTGAGGAGCACGTAAATTACCGCGACGTAGTGGACATGAGTTAAAGAGTCCCACCACCACTCTCGTCGTCGAGACATGGGATTACGATCGACACTCGACAAGCGTTCGATCGGTTCCTCCAGTTTGAATTCTGCCGTTAGATGCTCTCCGCCTGGACAGGAGGAATAACTGTAGATGTCACTGCGTGCTGAAACTTGGCGCCCGGGAAGCGGAGTGGCTGAATGTGCAGAACCTGATGCCGGCACCCCGTTCCGCCGGCGAGCTTTAACGTCCAACTTAGCATATCCAAGACGGCCGGCGGTCTTGCCGGCATCACGTTTTATCAAGAACTGTGACGAAGATTTTAGCCACAAGCGAGCACGTCCATTAGCCTATCTTTAACTTCCGGCGAGTCCGGGGAGGTCCACACACGTCCGGCAAACGAGACAATGCGGGTTCACAGGTAAAGCCCCCGCAGCAAGAACCGGTGCGCTCACGACTCTGCGTTCGTCGGCTCGGCCTCTAACCCGTTCCCCATGACAGCCATCCCAACTCTCGCCGTGATTCGCTGCAATCATCATTCCGATCAACACTTCACCTAACCACTCCTTCGACATCCGAACCCCTTTACAAACTGCGGACACGC